CCCCCCTCACTTCCCAGAGCAGAGTATAGGGTTATTAATATGAAAGTTAACAATAATAAAAAAAAGGAAAAGAAAAAAGAAAAGAAAAACATCATACTTAACCTTTAACTCCCCTTAAATTAAATAATAGTAATAGTAGTAAAGTTGGAAGGGACCTTGGAGGTCATCTAGTCCAACCCCCTGCTCGGGCAGGAAACCCTACAAACAAATCTCTACAACAGTTGCTATAAAATTTACTCATAAAGTAAATGAAACTTTGTAGTCCCATACTTTTTCTGAATATAATCTATCCATCTTCTCCATACAATAATATATCTTTCTTTTGTATGATCCTTCAAATAAGCAGAATTTTTTGCCATTTCTGCAAAGTTAGAAACTTTAAATATCCATTCTTCTAAAGTAGGCAACGAATCTTTCTTCCAATATGAGCCTACTAGTAACCTTGCTGCAGTTAATAAATTCAACATTAAAGTAGTTTCTTTGTCATTTAAATCCACAAAAATACCCAATAGGAATAATTGAGGGGTAAACTTTATCTTCCTTTTAAAAATCTTTTGAATGTTCTACCAAATCATAATCCAAAAAGCCTTTACCTTTTTACAATTCCACCAAACGTGAAAATATGTCGCATCCATATTACCACATCTCCAACATTTGGGTTGTAAATTTGGATACATACAAGATAATTTTTTAGAATCTAGATGCCATCTGTAAAACATTTTATAAAAATTTTCCCTCAAATTTTGAGCTTGTGTAAATTTAACATTTCTGATCCAAATTATCTCCCATAAGTCCAGTGGGATCGGTTCCTGGATATTCTGAGCCCATTTAATCATATAGTCTTTAACCAATTCTGTTTCCGAGTATAATTCTATTAAAGCATTGTAAATTCTTTTTATATAGGCCTGACTCTGATCTTTAATCTGAATAACCAGATTTCCATCTTCTAATGTTATTCCTTCTTTCTTATCTACAGTCCACCTGTCCACTATTTGTAAATATTGAAACCATGACTGTAGAATATTTTCTTGCCTTATACATCTAGGGATTTTAAATGCCAATCCGAACCTGACCAAATTAATAATTCTTTATACGAAATTTTATCAAAGTTCATCCCCTTAGAAATCCCCTCGATTGCATGTCTAGGAATCCCCCAGATAGGTATTTTATAATTTAACCTATAATAATACTTCTTCCAAACTCGAAGTAAGGCACTCCTCAAAATATGTGATTTGAAAGCCCGGTCCACTTTCTTATTAAAAATTAAATATGCATGCCAACCATACATTAAATCCCACCCTTCAAGAGCAAGAATATTGACTTCTTTTTGATTACTAGTGATTTTCTTTCTAGGGTAAGGAAGGTAAAAATCTTTCCCAGAACCCTATCAGACCATAGTCCGGTGTGGATGGAGCTATACTTGGAAGATGGGAACAGAAGACCTTGGAGACTGAATGAGAATTTGTTTACTCGGGAAGAGTTTGTACAAAAATGTAAAGAGTATTTAAAGGAGTTTTTTGCTTTAAATATGAATTAGGGTACATCGATGTCCATGGTCTGGGACACCAGTAAGGCGTATATGAGGGGAATTTTGATTCATTTAAATAAAGTTTCTAGGGATAAAAGGATACAAAGACATAGAGAAATAGAAGATGAGATTAAAATAAAAGAAGAAGCGCTTGCTCTTAACCCAATTGATAATAACTTAAAGGTTTCTATAAAGATGCTTAGGGAACAATTTAATATGTTGATGGCAGATCAGGTGGCTACCAATTTGCGTTATATGAGACATAATACTTCTGGGCTGGGAAAAAATCAAGGGTTAAGTTTAAGATTTTGCAAGATGCCCGAGAAAGAGGAGGACTTAAAGCACCTAATTTTAAATTATATTATGATGCAGCCGCCTTAACTTGGATAAGTGATTGGCTTAATTTAACAAATAAGGATATTCTCTGCTCTTCTTTATCCATCCTTTCCTCCATTTCCAATAGTTTTTGTTCATTTTTCATAATCTGCTGATGAAAGGATTTGAATTTCCCATCCATTGACTTAATTTTATCCTTAAGTTCCCCTGTATCATTCCTTACTTCCCCTATTTCTTTTTTTAGGTCTTCATGATTCTTGCACATCATCTCTTGCATTGATTGCAACATTTGTTGCAAATCTCTAAATGAGTTTGCCCTATCTCTTAGCGCCATTTCTTCTAGCGATCTTTGCTTGGCAGGGCTTGGTTCCAACAATATAGTCTGTGTTGTCTGTTTCCTCCCTATTCCAACCCTTGTAAGACTGGGGATACTAGAACTGCTCCCCAGGACACCTTATTGTTCCTGGTCCCCCTCCAAGGAACCAGGGATCCCAAGAGGTCTGTCAAGCGATCAGAAATGAGGGCAGACGCTCTGGAGAATCGTCTGGCACACCCATTCTTGACAGCTGGCCCCGCCCCCCGGCATTTAAATCTTCATGTAGTTTAGGCCAGTTTTCAACCTGTGGTCTGCAGCCCCTGGGGGACCTGGCTATTATCCTAGGCAACCTTGGCTCTTTTATGACTCGTGGATTTCAACTCCCAGAATTCCTGAGCCAGCATGGCTCAGCTTGGAAACCTCTCCCTTTCCCTTCAGCATGGCTGGCTCAGGAATTCTGGGAGTTGAAGTCCACGAGTCATAAAAGAGCCAAGGTTGCCTACCCCCATCCTAGGGGATCCATGAAGGCTTGAAAAAAATGTTACGATTTAAATCTTGAGTTAAGTCTTGGGGGTCCATGACCATAGACCATGGCTACAAAAACTATTTAAATGGGATCCGTGTTGAAGAAAAAATTGAGAAACACTGGATAAGATCTATATTGATTTCAGCATTATATTGTTACACCTCTGCTTCACAAGTTGCATTAGTTTCCAGTTTGCTTCTGGGTCCAATTCAAGGTGCTGGTTTTAACCTTTAAAGCCCTTCATGGCATGGGACTGGATTAAATGAGAAACTACCTCCCCCCAATTGCATCTGCCCATCGTATTAGCTCTGGCAGAGAAGGCATGCTGCTAGGGATCTACCCTTAGTGGGTCCCAGGAAAGGGGCTTTCCCCCCCCCCCCATGAGATTAGCTCCAACTCTATTGGTTTTCTGGAAATCCCTCAAGTCCTGGTTATGACATCAGACCAGGAGATAAATTCCATGTTTATTCTTTTTTAAAGGATGCTAACCTCACACCTGACATTCAAATATTTCAAATATCAAATACCAAGCTATGCCACTTTACAAAATTTTTAATTATATATATTGTTTTATTATTGTTTTCCCTTCTCCAAAAAATTATTTCCCTTTTTTACTGTACTATTTTATTATAAATGCTAGTCAAAGGCCTTAATAATAATTCTACTTTTGAGAAGTTGGATATATATTTGATATACAAATAAATGGATTAATAGATAAAAGTAGTGTATATTGGAAATCGTGGCAATTGTTTTATTTTACATCTCGTCATAATGACACACCTGATTCTCTCCTGGTTACTTTGATTCTTATAAATGTTGTCAGAAAAACCATTCACCTAAAGGAAGGGAAAAAACAAAGCATTTGGAGACAGAATCAATAAAGGATACTTTATCGGAATATCACTAGGGCCAGCTGACTTACCAAAACAATACCCTGTGTTGTGTGGTGGACAGGCAAAGGATGGTACACACATTGATTAACTTTCCTGGCATACAAAACAAAAATTATGGGAAAACTAAGAGAGAGAAAAAATCCTTCTTATTTTGTATTTTATTTATACATTTAGTTTTTACAACTTTCTTTTTATATATAAATTTTGTTAGAAAAAATAAAGATATTTACCAAAAAAAAAATGCAAACATGAATAACTTTCTCTAGCATCAGAAAGACAGGTTTTTCAATCACAATCTTTTTTCCAACAAATCTTTACTTTCAAGAACATTGGTAGCAATAAGATAGAATCATATTGTCAGTCAATATGAACTAGAAGCTGGACTTGCACATGGTTAAGATTCAGAATTAGAAAGAAAAAAACAAAAACCAAACGGTTCAAATGTGCCCTTGTGAAGCCAAAGCGAAGAGCAGCTATGTGTCTTTTCTGAAGCTGTTAGTGCAACTTTAAGATGTATGGACTTACCAAGCTGGGAATTCTGGGACTTAAAGTCCATAAAACCTAAGCTACATAAATTAACATAACATAAAAATATACACTAATAAAAATTTTTTAAAGCATCCAGAAAAACAGAGGTATGCATGCTCCATTGCCCTAATCCAGTGGTGGCGAACTTATGGCACGTGTGCCACAGGCAGCGCTCGGAGCCCTCTCTGTGGGCATGTGCACCATTACCCCAGCCCCGCCTCCCCCTGTGGCCCTCTCCTCACCAGCAGCCCCCCTGGAGGAGAGTTATCCCTGGGCATGGCCCGCACAGAGCAGCGCAGCCAAGGAAATAGCCGGGCAGCGGGGACAAGACTCCGCACTCACGCCCCATAGCGTGCAGATGATGCTGTGGGGTGTGGATGGAGGGCGTGGCTGCGATGGCACTGCAGGGCTGCCTGGGTGATCTGCTGCGGTGGGCCATGGAGGTGGTGTGTGGCCCTTTACGTGGGTGGGGCAGGGGGCAGGCGGAGGTGGAGCAGGCAGGGCAGGAGGCGAAGTGGGGGCAGAGCAGGCAGGGCAGGAGGCAGAGCGGGGGCGGGGGGCAGTTTTTGGCCACTTGGTCTCTAAAAGGTTTGCCATCACTGCCCTAATCAAACAAACAGGTCTTCTCCAAAATGACATTCAATTTTGCATTTTTAACTTCAGAATTTTTTCAAACTTTCCTGTAATTTTTCATAGCACAAAATAGTACTTCATTAATATGAACTGCACATTATGAAATACAGGCAGTCCTCAACTTACGACTACAATTGGGCCCTAAATTTATGTTGCTAAGTGAGAAATCGTGTGAGTTTTGCCCCATTTTATGACATTTCTTGCCACAGTTGTTAAGTGAATCACTGCAGTTCTTAAATTAGTAATATGGTTGTGATATGAACCTGGCTTCCCCACTGACTTTGCTCATCAGAAGGTCGCAAAATGTGTTCACGTGACCCCTGGACACTGCAACCGCCATAAATGTGAATCAGTTGACAGGCTTCTGGATATAAATCACATAACCATGTGGATGCTTCAGTGGTCACAAGCGTAAAAAATGGTCATAAGTCACTTTTTTCAGTTGTAACTGAATGGTCACTAAATGAATTGTTGTAAGTCGAAGACTACCTAGATTCCTCACCAGTGTAATTACAATTCCAGAGTCCTTTCTAGTTTTTCTCTTCAATGATTTAGATCACCAGAGCTTCTGTCTGACAGATCCACTTGGTCACAGCACTGCAAGATTCCGAGATGATTTTAGATCCCTTCAACATTGCACAGCTGCTTCCTTGAGCCTCGGCTATGATCGGCAGCCTGTAGGATAAGGGAAAAAGCAGGGAAGTTTGTCAAGGGGCGAAGAATTATTTTATTCTTTTTTAACTGTTTCTATATATATAACTTTTAAGGTTTTATGTCTACTTGTATGCTACAAATGTCCTTTCAATAGGATATACAAGGACAATTCGGAAATAAACCTCCATTTGGTTATCAGTGACAGATACTCGCAGGTACAAAACATATTATGCACATTAGAAAACTACGATGTTACATTACTTTTCAACATAATTGCCGTTCAAATTGAAGCACTTGTCATGATGTCTTACGACTTACAAGGTTTGAAATTCCTTCTGCAAAAAAATCTCCCGCCTGGGAATGAAGCCACCCTGTAACAGCATCGCGAAGCACATTGTTATTGTCTCTGTGTTTTGTGCGCCTCAGAAAGGAGGTTTAGTATCCGACGACCACAGAACTTGCAGTCTCCCAAATTTTCTGTCTCTACCTCGTACAAAACAGTCCAAGAAATTTGGGGAAAGTGTAAAGAAAGTGCAGATATCGTGAACCGACAGACTTCATGGACCTTTTTTGTCATTTTCCTGCACGAGTTCATCGCTGACTACAGATGGGCGGCCACTTCTTGCCTCATTCTGCTCGTCAGTTCGTCCATCTTTAAACATGTGACACCATTGACTTCTGACACCTTCACTCATCACATTTGGTCCGTAAACATTACACAGTTTGCAATGAATTGCAGCTGCTGAAAGTTTTTTCGCACACAGGAATCATATTACTGCATACGCTTCACATTTGGCAGGATTTTCAATGGCAGGGTTTATTTTCAATTGATCTAATGGACGAGGCAACTGCAATGCAACCTGATCCTCCCACTCCTCACTGCCTACTGAACTACTGCGCTTGACGCCATAGGACTGGTATCATTATCCCCACCTACTTCTCGCACATGCTCAAAGGGAGGCTTATTTCAGAATTGCCCTCGTATTTTATATGGTTATATTATAGATGTGGGTATACAGGTAGACTTACAACCACAACTGAACCTCAAATTTCTGTTGCCAAGTGAGACAGTTGTGAAGTGAATTTTGCCACATTCTATGACTTTTCTTGCCACAGTTGTTAAATGAATCACTGCAGTTGTTATGTTAGTAACACGGTTGTTAAGTGAATCTGGCTTCCCCATTGACTTTGCTTGTCAGAAGGTCTCAAAAGGTGATCACATGACTCTGGGATGCTGCAACCGTCATAAATATGAACCAGTTGCCAAGCGTCCGAATTTTGATCACATGACCATGGGGATGCTTCGACGGTCATAAGTGTGAATAAATGGTCATAAATCATTTTTTCAGTGATGTTGTAACTTTGAACTGTCACTAAATGAACTGTTGTAAGCCAAGGACTACCTGTATTACACCATTATATTAAAATATATGTTCATATGACACACTAAGGCCAGCCATCAGCCAATCATATTTTAGCCTAGAATATTGGGTGAATCCAGTCAGTGCAGCTATGATTTAGTTTACATTCTGCAAACTCAAAAAAATCTTTAAGGCATCAATAAGAATTATTATGGGTTGTTGCATAGTCAGCCAGATGTTCTGACTGGATTTGGCATTTTTATCCACTTACTGAGACCTTCCCAAAGATCCGGGATAGGCAGGTGTGGATGTTTGATGGTTCTGGAGGTATCGTCCAGGATGTAAGCTGTTCCAAGTAAAGTTGCCTTTTGCAATTGACTGATGGTGAATTTGTCAATGCCAGTGGTGTTCAAGTGGTGCTCCAGTTGTTTTAGGATTGCACCCAAAGTGCCTATTACTATTGCTACTACTTTTGCTCATTGCAGGTATTACTATTATTATTAGGTGTCCTAACACCACCACTTAACTATGAGCCAGATGGGACACCTATCTACACACACCCCAGCAAAGCAGACTTTATCACCTCCCACCTTTTCAGTGAGGGATGAAGCCATCCTGGTGTGAGGAGTCTTGCCCTGCTTGGGACCCTCAGCTTACATCTCCTGGACCCTTTTTATAACATGTGGGGCTGTGTCCTGTGTCCAGCTAGGCTTCTGGATTTTATTGTTCTTTTCACTACACAAAGAAGTGAATTCAGCCATTAAAGTCTACATACATCTTGAAGTTGCCAAGTTTGAAAAACACTGGTCTAGTGCAATTATTTCCCTTCTCCATTTTCCAAGGAGTGGTACGCTCCCTGTTGGCATCCAAGGATATTATTTTTCTGCTAGGCCTTTGGAGGTCTAATTACTGGGTTTAAGGTTATTATATTTTAACCCATTAATTTTTTATTGTTATTGCTTGTTTTATGCTTTTCTTAAATTGCAACTATTTTATGTATTTGTTTTTAATTACTAAAAGCCAGCTCCTGGGGATGGCATACAAAATTGTATACTGATCAACGTTCAAAAAGTATATGTTTAGTATAGAATCATGGGACAGACGCATAAATTGTGAAGTGAAAGACCAAAACACTGGAAGAAGGAAACAGATATATTTCTCAGCTCAAATAATCATAAAATGCATGGGAATACTCACCCTTTATTATTAAATGGGGAATTGTCCACCCACAACCACGTATGGGTGCTGGAATTTGCGAAGAGTCCTATCCACAACAGTTGTGCCCCGTTGCTGATACCCTGTATGAAGTTCTGTCAAGAATATATTTGTAAGTTTTTTGTTTATTCAGTACAGTATAAGAGAATGCAGCATTAGTGCATAAAATTCACAAAAATAGCACATAAAATGTGTATGAAAATATAAACACCAATACAGTGAATTATTTTTAAAATGCACAGTTAAAATGATAAAGTTATAAATAAATTTTAATTTACTTAAATTAAAAATCAGCTGGGAGAAAGACAGCCAGGTCTCTTTTTCCTTTGATCACAAATTAAATAAGCAGTTATTAGATGTGGCTAAGTTTATGGCTGGATATCTAGATTGTTTAGCCATTGGACTGCAGTGCCCTCAAGATGATGTAGTTCTTGCAGGGATCCAGGAAACCTTCTCATGGATGCAATACGATGGTGCAATACAATGTAAAGTTTGCAGGATGTTTGCGGGATGCAATGTAGACTAGCTTCCTTGTGGTGCACCCGGGGCAACGTGACTTTGTCACAGCTACATAGCCTACATATTCTAGCTGCTGGACTACATTAGGATCCCTCAGCAAGAAGCAGCAGCATGAACACTATTTATAAATGAACACTCTGGAACGTATGTTTAGGTTACTGTTAAGGAATCTTCTGGCTTTGATTTGGAGGCTAAAGAAGTAGACCTGACGACCTGTCAGCTGGAGAACCATAGTGACTAGATAATTATAGAACTGAACTGTTCCCAAACTGTTCCCGTGATCATGATCACACAAGGTGGAGCCAGATCTTTTCAAGTCTACACATTTCTATCCGATGAGAGGATGTTGGTATTTACCAGTTCTGCCTGCTCTTTCAAAACTGCAAGTTCAGAATTTTGGGCTCTGCAGTCACCCCTACTCTTAGTCCAGGTCTGCTTTCCCCTTGAGATCCAATAGCACTTGTTCTCATGAAGCTCCCAGTCTTTGGGACACAGCTTCAAATTCCCTGAAAAAGACAACAAAAAAAAAGGCTCCATATTTATTTATTTATTGAAATCAGGTGTAAACATTGCATCATACTGACACCAAATACAGGTAGCCTTTGACTTACAACAGTCCACTGAGTGACTATTCAAAGTGACCTGTGACCATTTTTCATACTTATGAAAAATACAAAGGGTGTCGCCACTCGTAGCTGGATCCCTCCCAGGGCGAGCATGAGAAGCCCGCCCTGGACAGAAGTAATGATCATTGATGAACAGAACAACGGAAGATGGTTAACACAGAGAACGTTAGGGGGGATGGTAGCACAAGTGACCAAGGGCGTAGCGCTCACATAACCACTACCCTTATGGGCAAGGAAGAGAGATAGGGGAATACAAAACAGGGAGAAAACATCTATCCACAATTAAAGGGGGTGGGGAAAAGTACCTGGAGCCCTAGTGGTATGGATGATAACATTAAGGGAAAATCAAATACCCCCGAGACCCGCAGTAGAAGGAAAGATGAAATGGGAGTAAATATCATTAGAAGGGAGGAGGATATAAGGGGGTTGACAAATCCAAATATTGACAATGAAGGAGCAGGTAAGAAGATCCAGAAGAACGATAGAAGGGAACGCAATACAAACATCAAGGAAACATCTGGAATACAAATTGACTGGCCAGGGCCGGTGACGCGGTCTAAGAGCCGAGTGCAAATGTCAGCTAAACCTATTTAAGTCATCTTTGTTAACTGGCTTTTAGCCCTGACGATGTTGGGAGTTCCCAACGAAAGCTTGGTGGTTTTAGTAAAGTATTTTCTTATTTAGATCCTCCTGGTGGTCATATGTTATTTATTTTTATTTATAATTATGCCCAGGAGTTGTATTTTTACGTGTGTGTGAGTAACACAGATTCCTAAGCAGGCACGTCGCAATGCTATGCACACAATGCAACTGCGTTGCTTTTATTTTGAAGCATTTCTTTTTTTCAATTTACATATGTGCATGCATGCGTGCCTGTGCATTTTCCCAGCTCTATGGTTTGGCCCTCCACAACAGTCCCAGTTTCTCATATGGCCCCTTGGGAAAAAATAACAGGTAGTCCTTGACTTATGATCACAACTGAGCCCAAAATGTATGTTGCTAAGTGAAAAATTTGTTAACTAAGTGCTGTCCCATTTTACCACTTTTCGTGCCATGTTTGTTAACAACTGTAGTTGTTAAATTAGTAAGTGAATCTGGCTCTCCCATTGACTTTGCTTATCAGAAGGTTGTAAAAGGGGATCACATGACACTGGGACACTGCAACCGTCATAAATATGAACCACTTGTTGAACACCCGAATATAAATCACATAATCATGGGGATGCTGCAACATCGTAAATGTGAAAAATTGTCATAAGTCACTTTGTTCAGTACTGTTGTAACTTAGAATAGTCACTAAACAAACTGCTGTAAGTCGAGAACTATCTGTAATGGTCCACCCTTGCTTTATACCTTTGTTCCTCCTAGAAAGAGAGTCCCCTCTAGGAATTATTGGAAGCTGCAATTTCTGGATGGTCAAAATATCTGGGCGCTATCTAACAAAATGAAATTCAATGGTGAAAAAAGTAAGGTTCTACATTTAGGCAAGAAAAACCAAATGCACAGGTATAGTATAGGGGGTACCTTGCTCAATAGTAGCAACTGTGAGAGGGACCTCGGAGTCATAGTGGACAATCACTTAAATATGAGCCAGCAGTGTGGTGCAGCTGCCAAAAAGGCCAACACTGCATTAACAGGGATAGAATCAAGATCACATGAAGTATTAATATCACTTTACAATGCCTTGGTAAGGCCACACTTGGAACACTGCATCCAGTTTTGGTCACCACGATGTAAAAAAGATGCTGAGACTCTAGAACAGTGTTTCTCAACCTTGACAATTTTAAGGCATGTGGACTTCAACACCCAGAATTCCACAGCCAGCATTGCTGGCTGTGGAATTCTGGGAGTTGAAGTCCACATGCCTTAAAATTTTCAAGGTTGAGAAACACTGCTCTAGAAAGAGTACAGAGAAGAGCAACAAAGATGATTAGGGGACTGGAAGGTAAAACATATAAGGAACGGCTGCTGGAATTGGGAATGTCTAGTTTAACAAAGAGAAGGATGAGAGGGGACATGACAGCCATGTTCCAATATCTCAGGGGCTGCCACAAAGAAGAGGGAGTCAAGCTATTCTCCAAAGCGTCCAAAGGCAGGACAAGAAGCAACGGATGGAAACTAATCAAGGAGAGAAGCAACCTAGAACTTCCTGACAGTTAGAACAATTAACCAGTGGAACAACCTGCCTCCAGAAGCAGTGAATGCTCCAACACTGGAAGTTTTTAAGAAGAAACTGGACAGCCATTTGTCCGAAATGGTGTAAGGTTTCCTGGTTGAGCAGGTCCCTTCCAACTTTATTATTATTATTATTAAAAGCGTGATTAGGGCTGCAGCTGAGCTTATGGACAGAAGTATGTACATGAAGAGCTTCTGGCAAGGAATGGGTGCACCTCACAAGAACTGGGAAGAACGTATTTGGAAAACAAAATGAAAACTGAGGGGAGAGAGAAACAACTCTTTTAAGATGTTTAGGACCTAATCCCAAGCATATATCCCAAAACAAACAATCAAACAAGGAAGTAGGGAGTGATAGGAAGGAAGAAAAACTCAGTCACAAAGTAGGAGATGGAGTAAGTATATCCAGCATCAGCCATAAAGGATTCGGATCCTATATATTAATGCTCAAGGTCCATAACTTGCCTCCAGAAGTTGTGGATGCTCCACCACTGGAGGCATTTAAGAAGAGATTGGACAGCCATTTGTCTGAAGTGGTATAGGGTCTCCTGCAGTGAGTAGGGGACAATAGGACTAGAAGATGTCCAACTCTGTTATTCTGTTGTACAGTCTTTCGCCCTTTATTTACATATAAACTGGCTGAGCGTTGCAGCTGGAGGTGGCAATCAAAGAGAAGATGGGGTTTTTTTGTTTATTAATAGGTGGGACCTCTGGTATCCTGAAACAAATGTTTACCCGAATGGCCTTTGGCCAATTTCATCCTCTTTGTGTTCTTTGGTGTTGACCTTGTGTGATGAATCCAGGTTTGGGAAATCTTTGTATGTGTGTTGTGTGTGTGTGTAAAAGATGTCCATATCCCGAGGTTGAGTTGAGTTACTGTTTGCTAGCTTTTTATCAGTTTCACCCAAAGACTTGGCTGAAGGCTCACGTGGTTCTTTGTGGCCTAGGGTTTCCTGTGGTGAGGCACGGCCAAGATTAGCATGTGGTCTGCCTGGAAGATGTCATGGCGGAGGCCTTTCCCTTCTAACAGTGCAATTCCATAACTTATAACAGGACTCAGTTTACAGTCATGTTTCATTGGTATGCAAGAATTGCAGCTAGGCAAATTCCTCATAGCTCAGTTTAGAAACGTGAAAGCAAAGAAACCTATTTGAGAACACTGGTTTTACACAGGAATTTGAGTCAAGGCATTTTGACTGGGTTAAAAAGGGTCACAAAGGTGATCGTGAGTGCTCAATGAAAACTCTGAATCTACTCCAACCCCAAGATGAGTTATTAATGGATTGTTACTCTATAAATCTTAAAGCATCTCGTCATGTGCTGATTCATTGGGGGGGGGGTGTTCTTGGCAGGGATAACGTACAAAAGGTCAAGATGTAACCATATAGTATGAGATTATTTTACCTTCATTTAACCTTTGTAAAAAAAAATTGGAAGCTACTATACTTGTTTATATTTTCATTCCTGCTAGTTTCTATCTTTTTTTTAAAAAAAGAAAACTTTGATAAAGTTATTTGGAAAAAAAAATCCCTGATACATATAAAGAACAATTGCTGGAATTGGGTATGTCTAGTTTAATGAAGAGAAGGACGAGGGGGGACATGATAGCTGTGTTCCAATATCTCAGGGGCTGCCACAAAGAAGAGGGAGTCAAGCTATTCTCCAAAGCGCCCAAACGCAGGACAAGAAGCAACGGGTGGAAACTAACCAAAGAGAGAAGCAACCTAGAACTAAGGAGAAACTTCCTGACAGTGAGAACAATTAACTAGTGGAACAACCTGCCTCCAGAAGCAGTGAATGCTCCAACACTGGAAGTTTTTAAGAAGAAACTGGACAGCCATTTGTCCAAAATGGTATAGGGTTTCCTGCCTGAGCAGGGGGTTGGACTAGATGACCTCCAAGGTCCCTTCCAACTTTATTATTATTACATTGTTTTGTTTCAGTACAAGGGTGTTTATACAACATCAGTTGGAGGCGATTGACATTATTATTCTACCATTTCATTCACGTAAGTGGCAAAACTCGCTTAACAACTCTCTCGCTTAGCAACAGAAATGTTGGGCTCAATTGTGGCCGTAAGTCGAGGACTATCTGTATTGTAACCAGTAAAGTTTTGCTGTTATTTTAAATTAAATGGATCTTAGTGTATTCCAAAGAATACGTTGTGTCTCAGTGTTCAATGGAAAGAGATTTTAGTGTGTCTGTCGACAAGGATTACGAGTGTGTCATTGTAAACTGAACCTGGAAATATGTGTAACAGCATCCTTCCTTCCTTCCTTCCTTCCTTCCTTCCTTCCTTCCTTCCTTCCTTCCTTCCTTCCTTCCTTCCTTCCTTCCTTCCTTCATCTATTATCTATTATCTAGTATATATAAATAAAAATGTAAATGTTCATTTGTTCAAAATCTTAAATTTCCGAAAGTTCTTCACCAATTGCTTTGAAATTTTCACACAACGTTGCATTCGAATATGCGCATGTTTTTATATAACTATATTATACAGATGTCACACCTGTGACAGGTAAAAACATGTTTTTTTGAAAAACAGCACCATCTGTTGGACATAATCTCTATATCTGCACACACAATGGAACAACAAAAAATATTGTATACCCACATGCATTGTGAAATTAAACATATTACAAACGTGCACTTTCCGTTTTCTTTCTTTTCCATTTAACCACACTGAGCCACAGCAACGCGTGGCTTTGTACAGCTAGTTCTTTTATAAAAATTCATTGGTTGCCCATCCTACTGTATGGTAACTGGGCGGCTTACAGTTACATCTAAGCTAAAACATAAAAAGTTAAAATCAAACATTAAAACCAAGGACACATGGGGAGGGCGGGGACGGGAGCAGAGTGTGTGGGGGGGTGTAGCTGGGATCTTTCATTACTCAATCAGCCACCTCCATTGCACTGTTCCCCCAACTGGGACCCCAGGCTGACTGGCAGAGCCAGATCTTTAGGCCTTTACGAAAATATAAGAGGTTTGGGGCCAACCTCACATCCGGGGGGGGGGAGATGTTCCAGAGGGCAGGAGCAACAGCAGGGAAGGCCTCCTCCTGGACCCTACCAGCTGGAATAATCAGGCTGACGGGACCCATAGCAGACCTCATCTGCTGGCACGAGTGGCATGGGCCAATTCCAGTGGGGTGAGACAGTCCCTCAAATAACCTGGACCCATGCCATGATGGGCTTCTAAGGTGATCACCAACACCTTGAATTGCACCTGGAAGCAGACTGGTAACCAATGCAGCTCGCGGAGCAGTGGTGTTACAGGGGCCATTCTTGGGCCCAACAAAAGAGCCTGTGCTGCCGCACTTTGCACCAGCTGTAACTTCCGAACGCTCTTCAAGGATAGCCCCATGTAGAACGCATTGCAATAGTCCAGTCGTGAGATGACTAGGACTGAACGACTGAGCGCAGGGAATCTTGGTCCAGGAAAGGCTGCAATTCCTGCACAACACGAAGTTAGTCACGTGGTTACAGCCTCCATCTGGACTTTTCGGATCAGCAGGCCTCTCTGAGTTCAGTTCTCCTGAAAATTAGTGGCAATTTCAGCTGGTTGGTGCTAGTGTTGTTATGCACAAGCCTTGAAATCTGGGACCATACCTGTGGAATTGTCACAATGGGGCTTACACAGAAATCGCCGCAGCTTGTTCCACTTATCTCCTGCTGACACATTGCTGACTGTTTCAGTTGCAGGGGTTTTATCCTGAACATCTGGGGTTCTCTGGAGCTGCAAGGCTTTAAAAAAAGATTTCCAATTAGCTGATGAGCAAATGGAAGGAAAGATATATAAAGAAACGCACATACAGGAAGCACCACTGTGGCACTAGAAATACAAATAAGCTTCTTTTACGATATTCCTGTTCTCTGGAAGTCTTTTTTACCTCCACACTTCTTATAACATTTATTTTTTCTGCAGGTGTTTTTCCTGTTCTGGCTGCTCACAGCTGCTCATGAAGCTGAATTTCAACATTCCACTCTCTATGGAAATGGCTTGACAGAGACCAAGTTAGGAGAAACGCTGGCTGTGGAATTCTGGGAGTTGAAGTCCACATGCCTTAAAATTGTCAAGTTTGGGAAACACTGTGCTAAGTCATGTATGTTCTATGTTCCCCAATTTCTTGGCTTTCCTATCAGTGCAAGAAAGGCAAAGATTGCTAGCTAGCCTCTGTGTGGGTGGATCTTTTTTCATTAGTAGTCCCTGTGCCTTTGCTTGATTTGCATATAGGTTAATGAAGACTCAATCATCCAGGCCAAAAGTATCTAAACTGGTTAAATCAAGGCAACTAGAAGCAAAGTTTGTTAATCTGAGATGTTTTGTTGCTCATCCAAGTAAATTTTTCCTGACAGTTAAACAATTAACCAGTGGAACTACTTGCCTCCAGAAGTTGTGAATGCTCCAAAACTGGAAGTTTTTAAGAAGACATTGGACAACCTTTTGTCTGAAATGGTATATTCTATTCTATTCTATTCTATTCTATTCTATTCTATTCTAAACTTCATCCGTCAAAATAAAATAGTCTGAGATAAAATAATAAGTAATCTCTGCCTCAGTATTTTTTAATTTAAATTTTAATAATAATAATAATAATGTTGGAAGGGACCTTGGAGGTCATCTAGTCCAACCCCCTGCTCAGGCAGGAAACCCTATACCATTTCGGACAAATGACTGTCCAGTCTCTTTTAAAAACTTCCAGTGTTGGAGCATTCACCGCTTCTGGATGCAGGTTGTTCCACTGGTTAATTGTTCTAACTGTCAGGAAGTTTCTCCTTAGTTCTAGGTTGCTTCTCTCCTTGATTAGTTTCCATCCGATGCTTCTTGTCCTGCCTTCTGGAGCCTTTGAAAATAGCTTGACTCCCTCTTCTTTGTGGCAGCCCCTGAGATATTGGAACACTGCTATCATGTCCCCCCTCGTCCTTCTCTTCATTAAACTAGATATACCCAATTCCAGCAACCATTCCTTATACGTTTTAGCCTCCAGTCCCCTAATCTTTGTTGCTCTTCTCTGTACTCTTTCTAGAGTCTCAACATCTTTTTTACATCATGGTGACCAAAACTGGATCCAGTAGTCCAAGTGTGGCCTTACCAAGGCATTGTAAAGTGGTATTAATACTTCATGTGATCTTGATTCTATCCCTCTGTTAATGCAGCCTAGCACTTTTTGACAGATGAAGTTAATTGGATGAGTAAGAAAATGTCTCAGATTAACAAACCTTGCTCTAGTTGCCCTGATTTAAGCTTTTTAGATACTTTTGGCCTGAGTCTTCATTGATGTATTGCAGGGAGAAATCCTTGTAGTTGGTGTTGCAAGAGTTAGTATACTCCAATGATTCTCTGGCTCTCTGCCTAACATTTTTTTATTTTTATTTTGAGGGATGACGTTATTTGGATGAGTAATGAAAGGTCTGATTAACAAACTTTGCTCTAGTTGCCCTGATTTAACTCTTTCAGATACTTTTTAGATTTTTCCTTTCTTTGCTTTACCAAATCTTTGCACAGATGTCTTTGCCTCCCTTTCCCCTGTGCTCTCCTTCAACACTGGAAGTTTTTAAGAAGAAACTGGACAGCCATTTGTCCAAAATGGTATAGGGTTTCCTGCCTGAGCAGGGGGTTGGACTAGATGACCTCCAAGGTATATTCCAACTTTATTATTATTATTATTATTATTATTATTATTATTACAGACTTTTCTTTCTTTTTTTTTTCCTCCTTATGCTACTCTTTTTGCTCTGATGCCACAATAATCGAAGCAAAACCAGGTTGCTCTTTCATCCCCGTGTCATTCCATAGAAACCTTATAGCAAGAATGAGCCGATCATTCAGCTACATAACAGTAGTCCTCAACGTACGACCATAACTGAGCCCAGAATTTCTGTTGCTAAGTGAGAAAGTTGTGAAGTTGAGTTTTGCCCTTTTTTTGCCACAGTTGTTAAGCAAATCACTGCAGTTGTTAAGTGAATCACGTGATCGTTAAGCAAATCAGGCTTCCCCCACTGACTTTGCTTATCAGAAACCAGCTGGGAAGGTTACAAGTGGGGAATCTTATGATCCCAGGATAGTGCAACTGTCATACAGCTAGTCCTCGACTTACGACCATAATTGAGCCCCAAAATTGGCCCCATTTTACGACCTTACTTGCAACTCTTGTTAAGTTAATAGCACGGTTGTTAAGTGAATCTGGCTTCCCCACTGACTTTGCTTGTCAAAAGGTTGCAAAGGGTGATCACATGACACTTGGATCTTGCAACCGTCATAAATGTGAGTCAGTTGCCAAGCATCTGAATTTTGATCCTGTGACCGTGGGGATGCCGCAATGGTCATAAGTGTGAAAAACGGTCATAAGTCACTTTTTTCAGTGTCACTGTAACTTCGAACGGTCTCTAAATGAACTGTTGTAAGTTGAGGACTACCTGTAAATACATGCTGGTTGCCAAGCATCCAAATTTTGATCACATGATTATGGGGATGCTGCAATGGATGTAAGTATGAAAGTTGGTCCTAAGTCATTTTTTCAGTGCTGTTGTAACTTTAAATGAATGGTTGTAAGTTAAGGACCATTTATAGTAGAAAAACAACATTCCTTTAAACTTTGTCACTTCATTCCAGATTGACTGGATTGCAGCTTTAGGTGCCAACCCTTGACCGTGTCTAATTTGCTCCCAGCCAATGATCTCTGCCAAACCACAGCGGGTTTTCCTTCTCTGTTGGACCTCTGCCAGTGGTTAATTAAAGTCCTGACAGCCAACAGCTTCCTCTCTGGCTCAAGAAAGGAAAAAAAACCCTAAACCTGGCCTTTCTGCATTTAGCTTAAATTGCTGATTAACCCAGCCTCCCTGTGCAGCAGCAAAATCGCAGCAATAAAATAATGATAATATGCTTTGTGTGTGTGTGTGTGTGTGTGTGTGTCTGGCAGGCAAGTTTAATAATCTTGACTAGCCCGGTGCAACTGCAGAAGTTGGTGAACAGTGCCAGCTACCAGGTTTCACCAGACCATAAAGAGGAGACAAGGCGAAGCCTGACAGTCCCGTGAGCTTGTCAGAAATGCGGAGTTGGCGCTTTGCAATGCCCAAGCCGGCTTCACGTGTTCTCAGTCCTGCTGGCTCCAGGTCATGTGAAGGCATCCCTGGCTGAGTGGGTTTTGTGTGTGCAGGCCAATTAGGCTTGCAAGCTGCTTTAACAGCTTTTGCACGAGAGGTGGGGCCAGGCGGGGTTGCCTTAGCCCAGTGTTTCCCAAACTTGACAATTTTAAGGCATGTGGACTTGAAGTCCACATGCCTTAAAATTGTCAAGTTTGGGAAACACTGCCTTAGCCCAGGAATCCAGATTAAAGCCAGAGTGGCTCGCTTGAGTGCCCCTTGCTCAGCCACCCAGCCCCTGTGACCGCCTTGCCCACCCCCAATCATATGCTGCCCCTTATAGCCCCCGCAATTTCCCCACCTGCTTCCAATCACACACTCCCCAAACCCCAATTGGCTGGCGGGTACTTGTCCAATGCAGCGAGACGCCTGGGGAAAACCATCCCTCAGGGAATGGGCCAGGATGAAGAGCTGGGGCTGGGTGGCCAGGACGCCGTTGATGGTGGACAATCACTGGCAGAGAGCCAGTGGAGGAGGAAAGCCTGCTGTGGTTTAATGGCTACAGTTGGCTGACAGCGAAGTTGGAGCAGCCAAGGGTCAGTGCCTAAATGCCCCATTCCAGGAAGGGAAGCTGCCTTGCTAGTTTCCACTGGAATTTCTACTGCAGCAAGGAAAGTTCAGTGACTTCATAATCCATTGTTAGATCTTTGTTTTTACATAATAGAGCTGGAAGGGACCTTGCAGGTCTTCTAATCCAATCTCCTGCTCAAGCAAGAGACTCTAGTCCAGTGTTTCTCAACCTTGACAATTTTAAGGCATATGGACTTCAACTCCCAGAATTCCACAGCCAGCATTGCTGGCTGTGAAATTCTGGGAGTTGAAGTCCATATGCCTTAAAATTGTCAAGGTTGAGAAACACTGCTCTAGTCTATACCATCTCAAACAAGTGGCTATCCAATCTTTTCTTAAAAATCTCCAGTGATGAAGCACCTACAACTTCTGAAGAAAAGCTGTTCCACTGGTTAATTGTCCTCATTGTTAGGAAAGTTCTCCTAAATTCTAGGTTTCTTCTATCCTTGATTAGTTGCCCTCCATTGCTTCTTGTTTTGTCTTCTGGTGTTTTGGAGAATAATTTGACCCCTCTTCTTTGTGGCAGCCCCTCAAATATTGGAACACAGCTAGTGTTCTTTTCTCTAGACTAGCCATATCCAATTCCTGCAGCCTTTCTTCATATGTTTTAGTGTCCAGGCCCTTAATCATCTTAGTTACTCTTTTCTGCACTTTTATCTTTTTTTTTTAATGAACCATAATTGAAAGGGTAGAAAGAGAGAGGCAGCTGCCAATCAGTGGAGAAGCTACCAGCCCAGGACAAAAGGGGTGCCCAGGGCAATGCCCAGATGCTGCAGCCAATTGAAGTTAAGGGTATCACTAGAACATAAAGGAAGGATTACGGATTGCAAAACAGCCATTTTGAAGCAGAGCTTGAAACCAAGGCAAGTGCATTTATGATGGGTTGGGAGTGGGTGGGGGATGATGTCATCAGTTCCCCCTCTGAAGAAGCTATGGCAAGCAAAGAGGCTGAATCTGCACCTAGTCAGCGCCACAGTTAGTGAGAATGAACGAGAACTTGGTCCATCAGCTGAACAGCCAGGTCTTACTTATTGGAAGCTTTTCAAACAGTTATGGTTACTGCATATATCTTCTTTTAAAAACATCTTCCTTGCACTTTTTTTTTTTTTGGCCTTAACTTTCTATTCAGTGTGGTTACAGGGGGTGAGTATTAAATTCCCCCATTTACAATGTTCACATCTGTTCTTAAGAACCAAAGGAAACTTTAGTATCTTTGATCATATAGCCAATTTCTTTCCCTGTGGGAATGTTTCAAAAAGCGTCTAATAATCTCTGACTCGCTGCAATATACAGTCAAATACTTCAATAGCTGTACCAAATTTATATCATTAACTGATGAAAAATTGAACCACATTGGTTGCCTTCCCTTTTTCTTTCTTTCTCTTTGTTTTGATTTCTTTTAGTAGCAAAAAGGTAATTTGTTTTATTCAACTTTATTAAGCTTCAAAGAAAGCTAAAATACAATAGAAGAGGAAAAATTGGGAGAAGGGGATCAAAAAGGAGAAAAAGTTCAAATGTGACAAAAAAATACATTAAAAAAAGTAAAGGAACCCACAGCTTAATACATAAGAGGGTGAGGAAGGTGAAAGGGATTATTAGGAGAGTTTAATTTCCTCCTGTGGGAAGTCAGTCCTACCCACAGAGAAGGAAATATTAAAAGGGCAGAATATTATATTTCCTCAAAAGATCTTAAAGAGGCAGAAAAGCATGCCCAGTTTTTCTTAATAGCTCCAAGTCTCCCTATCCCAAGCAGAAACCAGCTCTGTAGAAATGCAGCTTAATAATCCATTCAGGAAGGCTGGAGCCCTCCAGCTAGAAGTTTAGGAAGACAAAGACACCTAAAATCTACATAACCCACCCAAAGTCTAAGACAGGACATAATAGGATTAACCCACAGATGTCAAAGAGGCACACTCTTTGACATGACACAGGAAATACAAAATCTCAAACAGGAACAGGAAACAATCTCAAGAGCCCTAGAGGGTATAAAAACACTCCCTATATATGCTCTGTCTCTTTTTCTTTCAGAGCCATCTTTCTGTCTGGCTCTCCTCTTCAATAAACTGCAACCTTCTTTCTAAAGCAGTAGCCATGTTGTTTATTCCCAGCTTGGACTGAACCCTAATAAAGATTTTTTTTCCTTCCACACTTTTGTTCTGAATAGGAAACAAACTCACTCCTTTAATGTAAAACTTATGCCTAATCAAAATCAGAGTCAGCTTTTATTTTCTAAAAGGAATGTTCAAACCATCTTTTGGGAAAATGGAAGTAATTTTAAGTGATTTATTAACAGGTATAATCAACAATGCATAAGCACACCGAGACAAGTGGGTTTTTTGGGACTTATTAGGGAGAATTTTATGGGTAGAACTAAAAGCTCCTAACTGAAATACAAATTTGGCACTATGCCCTGCTCAAATATATCTTCCCAGGGAAATTAACTTGTCAGCTGAACCATAAAATATTTAGAAAGCCAAGAAATCCAAATGAACAAATATCAGGAAGTAACTCTGCAGCAGAAGGCAGAACTCTTGGCAGAAAAACAAAGAATTGCATGTAGGCAGGAAAGAGGAATGCCCCTGTACAGTGGTACATATGAGCTTTGTTTATAAAAAGAAAGAGACAGTAAGAAGTTAAGCAAGAAATCAAAGAGGGTTTTAATCATAGATCATAAAAATAACAATATAAACTCTAACTGTGGATAATTGAATCTGCTGAGAAGAAAATAAGCTGTTTGTCAAACTTTAATAAGTTTTGCTGCCAAGCAATCTTTATGCCCTTTAGTGCCACAATATTCAACCGTGCTTATATGGGTAGTTCTCGACTTACAACCTTAATGGAGCCTATTATGGTTGTAAGTTGTGTTGGTTATAAAGTGGGTCACCTCTGCGACTGACCTGATTTTACAAACTTTTTTGCGATGGTTGTAAAGTGAAAGCCACAGTCTTAAATCAAACACCATGGTCATAAAGCAAATGCCATGGTCATAAAGGGAAGACTGCCATCATAAATGCTGGGGTTTTTTTAAAAAAAAAAGTCATCAAACACATTATGTGACTACTGGACACTGAAAATGGCCGTAAATTCTGGCCGATTGCCAAGCCTTCCAAGGGGGGGGGATCACATGACTACAGGGGCGCAGGGCCCTCGGAACTCCAGAACCGGATCATAAGTACCTCTGGGGAGGCATGGCGTAACTTCAAAAGGTCATTAAACACTCAGCCATAAATCAACAACTACCTGTAGAAAGGGAAAGTAGAGATGGGAAGGTTATACAGGTAGTCCTTGACTTACAACAGTTTGTTTAGTGACCATTCAACATTACAGTGGCACTGAAAAAAGTGACAAATGACCATTTTTCACACTTAGGACTGTTGCAGCATCCCCATGGTCACGTGATTAAAATTCAGACTCTTGGCGACTGTCTCATATTTATGACCGTTGCAGTGTTCCGGGGTCACACGATCACCTTTCGCATCCTTCTGACAAGCAAATCATTGGGGAAGCCAGGTTCACTTAACAACCCTGCTAGATTCACTTAACAACTGTGGCAAGAAAGGTCGTAAAAATGGGGCAAAACTCACTTGACCACTGTGTCACTTAGCAACAGAAATATTGGGGTCCGTTGTGGTCATAAATCGAGGAGCACCTGTATTTCAAATGCTGCAGAACAAACTTCTGGGGAGGATGTGGAGCACAATGGAGGAGAACCCAGCCTCTGCCAAGAACAGAGATTCCCTCCCTGGAAATGGAGGGAAGCCAGGAGAAGGAGGAGGAGCCTAGAGGGGCTTCTGAGAATGAGGAAAGACCAGGAAGATGGACTGTGCTGTGTGAATAAATTCAGATTCTGCACAGAACTAAAGGCCTTTTTTTAGTAGCAAGACAAACAGCAGGAAACTCAGAGCATTCCTGAGCCAGCAGTGGAGATAGGGAAAGAGCTGTAATAAATTACAAGGCAATAAAAGGAAAGAAACTTGAGAAAGAGAAAAATTAAGGTTAATATTTAAGTTCTTACATACGGTAGAAAAACAGACTGGTTTTATAAATACAACTTTCACTTGTGTAGCTATTATATTAGTATATTATTATAACATTAATTAATATCGTTGTTTTATAATAATATATAATTATAACTTCATTATACTATTTCTGTAGTTGTTATGGTGTCTAGAATACAATCCCTCATTTGTGTAATTATTGGCTGTGTGCGTGTCTGTCTTGGCTTATATTTTGACCATACCCTCCAAAACAAACACCTCACTGTTAGGTGAGGATTTACGTAATCCTTTCCACTAAAGGCAGATCATAATCTCTCATCTCTTCAGGCCTGGCCAAATCAATCAGTATGATTGTTTCCTGATCTTCAGTTCAAATGCACTCCTGGGAAAATTCTCCTGCACTTATTAGGAGCCCATTTGCAGATCAGAATTCCCATGCTTAGAGATTGGGTTAGACCAGGGGTAGGCCACCTTGGCTCTTTTATGACTCGTGGACTTCAACTCCCAGAATTCCTGAGCCAGCCATGCTGAGGAGAAATGGAGAGGTTTCCATGCTGAGCCATGCTGGCTCAGGAATTCTGGGAATTGAAGTCCACGAGTCATAAAAGAGCCAAGGTTGCCTACCCCTGGGCTAGACATACATATACCTTACCAGTGTTTGACTAGAACTAAAGGAATTTCCCATGCCAGATTCAGCAGCTCATGATTAATATCTGTGTCACATTTTTTTTATAATATTTTTTTTATTGAAAATTTTTTAAAAGTTTTACAAAAAACAAAAAAAAACAACAACAAAAAATAAAACAACCCTCCCCCAAACCCTCCCAAACCACCCCCCTCCATCCCCCCCCTGAGCTTCCCAGAGCTGAATATAGGCTTAATTAAAATTTTAAAAATTCTAAAAAAAATTAATCAACTTATAAGGTAATTAACAATAAAATATATATAACAATAAAACATATACATTAAAAAAAATACTTAGAAAAGAAAGAAAAAGAAAGAAAAAAAGAAATAAAGGAAAAGAAAAGAAAGAAAGAATACAATCTATAAAATATCAAATTTAAATACAAGTTATGAAAAAGCTAAATGGTATTTTTTTATAGCCAATTTATATTGTATGAAATTTATCCATTTTTCCCATACAGCAAAAAATTTCTCTTGTGATTGCTCCTTTAAAAAAGCCGAAATCTTTGCCATTTCCGCCAGATAAGAAACTTTAAAAAACCACTCTTGCAAGGTAGGCAAAGATTCCTATCTGTGTCACATTTTTAACATTGCTTCTTAAGATGTATGACATGGTAATTCCTACACTTGAAATATGGACTCTATTTAGTATTTAATTTTATGTTATATTTGATTTTATTTATTGGATAGCCAGTCTTCACATTTTAAATTATGAATAATGCATTTATTTTTAAAATAAATTTGTTAAAAATTTCTCATGTATCTACAGTATAAGCATTCATGGAAAATATTAAGCTTCAGACAACTCACCCCAAATCCCCAGTCCTGTGAGGGCTGCCACAAGAATGAGGATTATAGTACATCCAGATCCTACCAGGAAGCAATGACAGCGAGGATGTTCCAGCAGGAAATCTGCAAACACAGAGGTAAGGAAAGAAACAACAAGAAAAATAAGAGCTCTGTACAGGTAGTCCTCGACTTACAACAGTTCATTTAGTGACCGTTCAAAGCTACAACAGCAGTGAAAAAAGGGACTTACGACTGTTTTTCACAGTTACAGACTTTGAAGCATCCCCATGACCATGTGATCAAAATTTGGATACTTGGCAACTGGTTCACACTTATGACCGTTGCTGCATCCCAAGATCTTTTGCGACATTCTGATAAGCAAAGTCAGTGGGGAAGCTGGATACACTTAACAACCATGTTACTAACTTAACAGCTGCAGTGATTCAATGAACAACTGTGGCAAGAAAGGTCGTAAAATGGGTCCCAAACTCTATTGCTGTTGCTTTTGCTAAGCAGAGCAGTTAAATGAGTCTTTTATGACTCCTTTTGCAATGGTTCTTAAAGTGAATCACTGCAGTTGTTAAGTGAATCGTGTAGTCATTAAGTGAATTTGGGTTCCCATTGATGTTGCTTGTGGAAACTGACTGGGAAGGTGGCAAATGGTGATTTTATGATCCCAGGATGTTGCAGCAATCATAACTAACATGCCAACTATCAAGCGCCCAAATTTTGATCACATGACCATGGATATTTTGTAACAGTTGTAAGTGTGAGGGCGACTTGTAAATTCCTTTTTTTCTGTGCCATTGTACACTTTAAATGATTACTAAAAGAATGATTATAAGTTGGAGACTACTTGTATTCCCAGAAGTGTGTGGATAGTATGTATTTTTGTGTGTAGGTATGTATGTATGTATGTGTCTGTGTGTGGATGGAGAGAGAGAGAGAGAGGGAGGGAGGGAGGGAGGGAGGGAGGGAGGGGGAGAAGGAGAGGAAGACTATTCTTTATTGGCCACATAAGGAATTTGTATCTGGTACATAAGCTCTCACTGTACTAACAAACAACAAAGTGATAAGCCATAAATCATAAGATTCAATTATAAATCATAGGATACAAACAATAGATAAAGTATAATATCAATAGGAGAAGTTAATAGGAAAGTTGAGAGGTGAGAAGAATGAGAAGATGAGAAAGATGAGAAGCTGACAAAGATAATAGCAATACAGCTTACCACATGGGTAAATATCTTTAGGCATAAGACAGTGCTGTGGAAGTTAGGTGTTTAGCAGAGTGACAGCATGGGGGCAGGAACTATCTTTGTGTCTGGTTGTTTTGGTATGCAACGCTCTATAGTGGCGTCTTGAGGGGAGAAATTGAAACAGTTTATTTCAGGATGTAAGGGGTCTGCAGATATTTATATAGAAAGAGGTGGGATAAAAATCTTTTTTTAAAAAAAAATCCTTTCCCTGGCCTTCTTCCATTGTAGATTACTTTTTGTTTATTCTTCCCTTTTCACTTTAACAGCAAGAATAAAGCATTAGGCCTCATTGTTGCTAATCTCTCAAGAGAAAAGGGAGACTAAGAAAGTAAATAATTAATCATCCCATAAGTGAACTCTTACTCAAAGTCCTTGCAGCTGAAAAATATCACTGGAGGAAAAGTGTTGAAAAAAATCAGAGAGTTTGGTTCTGGGACCCATTACAAATTCCTAGAACAGGGGTGTCAAACTGCAGGCCCACAGGCCGGATGGGTCATGGCAAAACCGCGCCCACCCCATTGCCGTCGATGGAAAAAAGTCGTGATATGTCACGACACGTCACATGACGTTGCAAGTTTGACACCCCTGCCCTAGAAGGACCATATGCTCAGAGGCATGCTGTTCCTACATATTTCTACCTCATAATCTGCTATTCTGCAACTATTTCCAGCTGATGACCCACACATTCTAATTTTAAGTTAGTTGACCTTAACGTCTGGCTTGGCTAGGCTGGCTTTAACACAGTCACAAACAAAATATGCAGTTGGTGGAAAATGAATCTAGATTTAAAAGGAAATAATGTACCCAATTCAGCATCAAATTTCTTCCTTCCTTTCATATATTTGAGTTAGTCATATCAGGACTTTATGAAAAATCCACCACAGAATATTTTGAAAGGAAAGAATGGAGGTGTAAGAAATTGGTAGCAAATGTTTCACTCTTCGTTATGAATAATATTTCCCCCCAAATAATATATTTATACATACATTTGTATCCACCTGCCTTGTATCAATAATTAAGCAAAATAAGCAGATGTTTTGGGTACATGTTTCTTTTCCTAGCCATCATGTCCTTAACCTTTTCACTGCCACACTCAACTTTAATTTTCCATAATTTTTTGTAGTTCCATTTTTCCCTTACAGTATAATAAAGTTATTAAAATGCATTGAAATTTGTTGAACATTTCCATGTTTTACTAATGCCCTAATTATAAGTAAATAATTTGCTTATAGTGTTCAATAAATGTATTCTGTAAGCTGCCTCAGTTCACCATGACTGAGTTGGGTGGTCAAATAAATGTTCTAAATTAATACATTAAAAAAAAGTTTTAAATTAATACAGTTGTGGGGTCCAACCTGGGGGATGGTCTGGAAGAAAACTGAATTTTTAATCTTGTTTCACCTTCAGCATGTTCGAATCTGAATGTCTTGTCAGTTAAGGAATGGAAGATTTGAGGGGCACCATTGTTGAGCTGTAGGGCAGGGATGTCAAACTGCCGGCCCACGGGCCGGATGCATCATGCCGAAACTGCACCCCGGCAATGGGGAAAAAGTCACGATATGTCACAACACACCACGTGACATGGCAAGTTTGACACCCCTGCTGTAGGGCATCAGTTGATCTTAACCCAGCCGTCTATACCACCCTTCTTCTGAAGAGCAGAAGAGGCTCAGATAGACTTCCCCTCATTTTTAATTTCAGAGAACTCTGTGAAGGAGGAATTGGAGAGGAAGTTAGTGGTCCAAGCTGGAGAGTGAAATCAGAGGAAAAAAAAAACCCTCAAGGCTGAAAAGAGAAAGTGATTCTCTGGCTGGCTGAGGATCTGAAAAACCAAGTTCCCTTCAGAACAGATCTGGGGGCTCCGTGCAATTATTCTGAGTCTATCTGGGCTCTGTGCTGAAGAAAGGGTTCAAAGGAGAGAAGAGCTGCTTCCATTAGCAGCAGGACTGCAGTAGGAGACCTCTTTGTCTCTGAGGTCTCTCTGCATGACTATGGACTCTGAAGACCACATTATAAAATTTTAAGGAGGACCCCCGTGATAGTCCTCTCCAGTTGTGTTTTTGGTAACTCAACTAAAGTACAGGTCATCCTCGACTTAAAATCATACATTTAGCAACTGTTTGATGTCACAGTTCAAAAAGTTGAAGCTGGAGAAAGTGAGTTACAATTGGTTCTCACACTTATGACTGTCATAGCATCCCTCAGACCAGTGGTGGGATTCAACCGGTTCGCACCAGTTCAGTAGAACTGGTAGCTAATTTTTTTTTGTTGTCCACACCCAGAACGGACTTCCAGAAGCGGCATCCACACAAAGAACCGGTTGTTCACATATTTGAATCCCACCACTGAGCAAGGCCCATGATTTTCTGTTTGGGCAATTGATAACCGGCATGCATTTATGATGGTTGCAGCATCATGTAACAACAATGGCAAAAAAAGTTGTAAAATCAGGCCTGACTCACTTAACACCTGGCTTATTTAGCCATGGAAATTCTGGTTTTCATTGTGGTGATAAGTCGAGAACTACCTTTCAGCTAGCTAAGATGCTGTTTTCTTCCATTTTGAAGATTTAAGCTCATCCTTATTATAAAATAAGGGATGAACTAACAACAGAATGTCTAGTTTAAACCATGAAATCCTTTCTCTACATTAAAAGTATAACTCTTTCCATGTTATTTTCTATATTTAATTTGGCCTTTTCTTTCCTACAAAAGGGTAACAAAAGTTTGCTTTCTTCATAACCATTGTTCATACGTGCCTGCTGTTTTTGATGATCCTTCTGTATCAAAGAAATCTTATTTTTCCCAGTCTTCCACAATTTGATGGCTTCAGATATTTCAGATTATAACTATATTGGGCAACAAAGATCTTGGTGGTGGGGGATGATAGTCTAAAAGATTTGATGGGGAAGGTTGGATTATTCTGTTCTAGGAATTTTGCTGTATTGATACTAAACATTACACTGGAAACATTACATGTTAACTTTACATCGTAAACATATAACTGATCTCTCTGTCACAAACACAAAATTAAAATAAAACCATATGTGTATGTATGCACACACACACATACATACATATACGCAGTGCTTTTTTTCTAAAAAAAAAAAGTGCTGGGACTCACACATGTCATACAACCTGCCTTGCCTACCCTACAAGGTTCCATCTAAAAAAGGTGCTGGAACTCCGTTCTGGGTGTTCTATGAGAAAAAAAGCCCTGCATATACATACAAACATATATATATATACACATATCCTCATGTGAAAGCCCTGGAGACAAGGCATGGAAGATAATATGTTATTTTAAAATAAAGTGATTTATGCCATGAAACACAATAGAATGGAAAACAGACCTTCTTTAGTGCTCATCACTAGTTATGGAGCATTCTTAGAGACAAGCATTTAATCAGTTGTGGGTGCTCCACCACTGGAGATTTTTAAGAAGAAATTGGACAACCATTTGTCTGAAATGGCAATAGGTCTTCTGATAGACCAGAGGCTTGAACTAGAAGATCTCCAAGGTCTTTTCCCACTCTGTTATCCTGTTATCATGCTGAAAATAAGAAGTCATGCCTTGTGGAGCAGCGTAAAGGCTGGATGTGTGAAAGGTGGGATCGTACAATGGATTGCATCAATAGAGAACCTATCTGGTAGAAACCTCATCAAAAGAGAAATTGGCAATTACATTCCTTCCCTTATTCCTGAGACCCCCAAGATGTCTGCACTGAGACCATCAAAACGTAGAAGCCCCCCAATGACTATAAATAAGCTGTAGCTTACCTTGCATCTGAGATTGTTTGAGTCTCCTTTGCATTCTCTTTGGCCGGTAGTTGAAGTAGAAGGTATCTTCTTGCTTCATTGTTACTCCAGCTACTAGTTTAATCGGAAAGAGGAAGAGCACTTTTGTTCCAACTCTACTTGGTATGAGCAGCAGCCCCAACCACTGTTATCTGGAGGTGGGCCACAAGATCGCACAGGAAGTGCTGTGAGACCAGTGAGGAACCAGCCTGCTTTGCTTCCAAGGCTTCTTTTATTTATCAAAATATAAAAGAACTTTCTGTTTCAAGTTGAGGGCAGCAAATTCATTTATCAGAAAGGAGGAATTTCATTCTTCAGCAACAAATCAAGGCAATTGATCCTTTCTCCTTTTGAGCTTTCCTTCTCATTTCTCCTCCAAATAGTTTCTCATTGCAAAGCCTTCAGGAATCTTCCTCTTGGTTTGTAACCTAACTGAATCCACATCACACCAAACCATAATATTTGTTTTGAGGACCTGTATACTGCACTAGCCAGAAAGAGGGCTGAGAAAATATCTACAGACCCCTCACATCCTGGACATAAACTGTTTCAACTTCTCCCCTCAGGACGCCACTATAGGGCACTGCATGCCAAAACAACTAGACCAGGGCTAGGCAACCTTGGCTGTTTTATGACTTGGGGACTTCAACTCCCAGAATTCCTGGGCCGGCATGGCTCAGCTTGGAAACCTCTCCTTTCCCCTCAGCATGGCTGGTTCAGGAATTCTGGGAGTTGAAGTTCATGAGTCATAAATGAGTCAAGGTTGTCTATCCCTGAATTAGACACAAGGATAGTTTTTTCCTCTATATGCCAAAGATATTTATCCATATAGTAGGCTGTATTGCTATTATCCTTCTCCTCATCTTTCTCTTCTCATCTTTCTCATCCTCCATACTACCTTCTCCTATTGGTACCTTATGATTTATCACTTATTCTTTGTATCTTATGATTTATGATCTATGGCTTATCACTTTGTTATTTGTATCTAACTGAAAGCCTAAGTACTAGAGACAAATTCCGTGTGTGTGCAATCACACTTGGCCAATAAAGAATATTCCAGTTCCAAATAACAATTACATTGACAAACATAAACAACACACCTTCCTCCTCCTATTTTCCCCATAACAACAACCCATTGAGGTAGGTTGCAATGAAAGCGACTAGCCAACGTCACCCAGATGGCATTCATGACTAAAGTGGGACTTAAACTCACGGTCTCTTGCTGTCTAGCCAGTGGCATTAACCACTAGACCAAACTGATTGTCTGAATGAGGCCTAAGACTTATCTAAGTGGCCCCAAAGTCAAATCCCACCTAGCTGGCCATCGTACAGATTTCCATAAAGTCTCTTCAATGGTAGCTTGGGATACATATCTACTGAATCTTGGAAACTAGAAATGGAATTTTCAACCCTCAAATATACTGATGCCATTAGAGCAGGGCAGGTTTGAATGATATGAAATTATTCTTCACAGGCTTCAGGCCAGCTAGCTAGTCTAAATGTCTATGGAGATTCTCGATCATCCAGGTCACGGTTGTCCCACCAGGCCTAGGTTGCTAATAATAATATATAATAATAATAATAACAATAACAACAACAACAACCCACGAAAATAACATTAAGAGTCTGGATGAGGAAGATTACTACAAATACTTGGGTATCCTTCAAGCTGACAACATCAAGCACACTGAAGTCAAGAAAAAGATTAGAGGTGAATACATCAAGAGAGTGAAGAAGATCTTAAAGTCCAAACTCAATGGAGGAAATACCATAAAGGCAATCAACATCTGGGCAATTCCAGTCATTAGGTACACAGCTGGAATAGTGGACTGGACTCAAGCAGAACTAAAAGCAATGGATAGGCAGACCAGAAAAATAATGACAATGAATCATGCCCTTCATCCACGCAGTGACATTGATAGACTTTATCTACCAAGGCAAATAGGTGGGCGTGGAATGCTACAAGTACATCAGATGGTTGAAGAAGAAAAAATGGCTTTGGAAGAATATCTGAAGAACAATGATGAAGATGCACTGAAATTAGTATATCAGGAAGGCTTACTGACTACTAGAGAGACCAAACTAGCCTACAAGAAAGACCAAATGAAGAACAGAATAGAGGTATGGGAAGACAAAGCACTATATGGCCAATACGCTAAAAAAATAGCTGGGAAAGCAGATAATAATAAGACCTGGCAATGGCAAAGAGCAGGAAAATTGAAGAAAGAGACCGAGGGACTAATTCTGGCTGCACAAGACCAAGCCTTAAGGACAAATGCATATAAAGTCAAAATTGAGAAGACAGCAACAGACAGTAAGTGCCGCCTATGCAAAGAAGCTGAAGAAACAGTGGACCACCTGGTAAGCTGTTGCAAGAAGATTGCACAGACTGACTACAAGCAGCGGCATGACAAAGTAGCAACAATGGTGCATTGGAAGATCTGCAAAAAATATCATTTGCCTGTAAGCAAAAACTGGTGGGATCATAAAATAGAGAAAGTCATAGAAAATAATAAAATTAAACTGCTCTGGGACTTCAGAATTCAAACAGACAAACACCTGCAACATAACACCCCAGACTTAACAATTGTCGATAAGAAAGACAAAAAAGTCTGGATAGTGGACGTGGCAGTGCCTGGAGACAGCAGAATAGAAGAGAAAGAACTGGAGAAGATAACAAAATACAAAGACCTACAAATAGAAATAGAAAGACTGTGGCAAAAGCAAGCAAGGGTAGTACCAATAGTCATAGGCTCCTTGGGTGCAATCCCAAAACAACTGGAGCACCACTTGAACACCATTGGCATTGACAAATTCGCTATTAGTCAATTGCAAAAGGCGGCCTTATTAGGAACTGCTTCCATCCTGCGACGATATCTGTAATACCATCAAACATCCACATCTGCCTATCCCAGGTCCTGGGTAAGGACTCGATAGGTAGACAAAATGCCAAATCCAGTCTGAACATCTGGCTGACTGTGCGATGATCCATAATAATAATAATAATAATAATAATAATAATAATAATAATAATAATAATAATAATAATAATAAAGTTGGAAGGGACCTTGGAGGTCCAACCCCCTGCTCAGGCAGGAAACCCTATACCATTTTGGACAAATGGCTGTCCAGTTTCTTCTTAAAAACTTCCAGTGTTGGCGCATTCACCGCTTCTGGAGGCAGGTTGTTCCACTGGTTAATTGTTCTGTCAGGAAGTTTCTCCTTAGTTCTAGGTTGCTTCTCTCCTTGATTAGTTTCCATCCATTGCTTGTTATCCTGCCTTCAGGTGCTTTGGAGAATAGCTTGACTCCCTCTTTTTTGTGGCAGCCCCTGAGATATTGGAACACTGCTATCAGGTCCCCCCCCGTCCTTCTCTTCGTTAAACTAGACATACCCAATTCCAGCAGGCTTTCCTTATATGCTTTAGCCTCCAATCCCCTAATCATCTTTGTTGCCCTTCTGTGTACTCTTTCCAGAATCTTGACATCTTTTATACATTGTGCTGAGCAAAACTGGATGCAGTATTCCAAGTGTGGCCTTACCAAGGCATTGTAGAGTGGTATTAATATTTCACGTGATCTTGATTCTATCCCTCTGTTAATACAGCCCAGCACTGTGTTGACCTTTTTGGCAGCTGCAGCACACTGCTGGCTCATATTTAAATGATTGTCCACTAGGACTCTGAGGTCCCTCTCACAGTCACTACTATTGAGCAAGGTACCCCGTATACTATACCTGTGCATTTGGTTTTTCTTGCCTAAATGTAGAACCTTGCTTATTTACCATATAAACTGGCTGAGAATTGCAGCTAGAGGTGGCAATCAAAGAGAAAATGGTGTTTTTTTTTGTTTGTTTATTAATAGGAGGGATATCTGGTATCCTGAAACGAATGTTTACCTGAATGGCCTCTCACCTTTGGCCAATTTCATCCTCCTTGTGTTCTTTGGTGTTGACCTTGCGTGATGAACCCAGGTTTGGGAAATCTTTGTATGTGTGTTGTGTGTATGTAAAAGATTTCCATATCCCAAGGTTGAGTTGAGTTACTGTTTGCTAGCTTTTTATCAGTTTCATCCAAAGACTTGGCTAAAGGCTCACATGGTTCTTTGTTTTGGTTTCCTGTGGTAAGGCACGGCCAAGATTAGCATGTGGTCTGGCTGGAAGATGTCATGGAGGAGGCCTTTCCCTTCTAACAGTGCAATTCCATAACAGTACAATTCCAAAAATTCCATAATAGCACTCAGTTTACAGTCATGTTTCATCGGTATGCCAGAATTGCAGCTGGGCAAAGTCCTTGTGGCTCAGTTTAGAAATGTAAAAGTAAACAAATGTATTTGAAAATTAACTGGTTTTAGAAAGGAATTTGAGTCAGGGCATTTTGACTGGATAAAAAAGTCAGTGATCAAAATTGCCCAATGAACGCTTCTGAACCTCGTCCCACCCTCCATTTATTAATAGACTTGTTATAAATCTTAAAACATCACTGTTGTGTTGTGCTGATTCACTGTGGGGACGGTATGTGGGTGTGTGTGTCTCATGGGGAAAAGCAAAGTGATGACAAGAATAGTCAGGCTGATGGCACCCAGAGCATGCCTCCTCTGCCGGCATGAGTGGCATGGTCCGATCCCAGTGGAGTGAAATAGTCCCTCAAGTAACCGGGACCCATGCCACGAAAGGCTTATAAAGTGATCATCAACACCTTGAACTGCATTCACAAGCAAACCGATAACCAGTGCAGCTCGTGGTGCAGTGGTGTTACAGGGGCCGTTCTCTTGGGCCCCAAACTGCCTGCATTGCCAGTTGTAGCTTCCGAACACTCTTCAAGGGTAGGTAGCTCCATGTAGAACGCTGATGAGAGCAAGATACCCCCTCCTCACCCCAAAGAGAAAATACCTTGGCAAATATAGGAAGAACCCATTACAAAGTAGTCTGACTCAGGGGCAGCCTGAGGCTAAATAAACGAACACTTAACACACATTGGCTACAAAGAATCACATCTAAACCACAGGAATGCAGAACCGGCTAACAGCAATTAGGATTGACAGGATTAGAACAGAAACACTAAGAGTCTCAGCATCTTTTTTATACCGTGGTGACCAAAACTGGATGCAGTATTCCAAGTGTAAAATAAGCACTTTTTTTTATTAAAAGTTTTAAAAATTTCACACAATATATATCCCAAATCCCTCCCCCTCCCCCTCCCCCACTTCCCAGAGCTGATTACAGGGTTACAAATAAACAAGCATAATCTAACTAACATTACCCAACTATACTATCAATCAAATCCATAACATACTTTAACTCCTTCTCAAGATAAATATTAACTAATTAAAAACAAAAATAATATAATTAAACCATAATACTAAAAATAATATAAATTCAACTATATTAAACTATTAATAATAATCTAAAATTTACTCATAAGCAAGATAATACTTTTCAGTCTCATATTTCTTTTGAATATAATCAATCCATCTTCTCCAAACCGAAATATATTTTTCTTGTGAATAATCCTTCAAATAAGCAGAGATTTTTGCCATTTCAGCTAAATTAGACACCTTAAGTATCCATTCTTCCATAGTAGGCAAAGAATTTTTCAAGATAAGCACTAATTGTAAGATAAGCTGCCAATTGACTCATTTTTCCCAGCATTAGAGCCTCTTCTAGAGAGGTCAGTTTTCACTTCAAATTTTTGGGAACAGTGTCCATTGGATAGATGAGACCAAAGTGGAGATATCTGGCCATAATGCAGAGTCCCACATTTGGCAAAAACCAAACATAGCATATCAGCACAAGCATCTCATATTAACTGTCAAGTATGATGGTATGGTACATACAATATAATTTGAACCTGGCTATTTGTGCATTGAGAACTCTGTGTTGTTTTGTTCAATGATTTATGTGTTTGTTTCCTTGGCTGGGAAGGAATAACACACATAAACGAGAAATAAGAGACTAGTTGGCAGCTAATTTTATAAGCCACATCTTAGCCCTAGGGGCAAAAAACCTGGGGAGCAGCATTTCCAATCATTCCAAAATTAATTAAATGATTAATTATCTAAAAATGAGGAAATTCCTCTTACAGCCTCCAGGATAATGTGTTTACCCTACAAACCATTAGAGACTTTCCTGAAATCTGTGTTGTTTTTCTGTGAGGTTGGACAGATATCTCAGATATTCAGGACCAAGTAAAGATGCCACATTGGAAGGCTGATAAAGGCAAACTGCTTCATTACAGAGAAGCTTCTGCTACCGTTTCTTTCTGTTGTGGTTGGTATTCAAGATTCTCATTAGTGTCAGAACCCTTCTGAGATATTTCCTTGTGGTTTCACACTTCAGATGGTGAAAAAGCGCTCGCATTTCCTTTGTAGCCCAAAGACCAAACTAGATTGCTTCAGACAGGAAGGCGGTGCAGAGAGTGGTGAGGATGGCCAAAAAGATCATTGGCAGTTCCCTCCCTCCCATCCAGGACATACCACAGAAGCGTTGCTTGAGCAGGGTCCGTAAGATTATCTGGGGCGCTACACAGTATTGTTATGTCTAGCTGAACTCTCCTTCACATCCCCCCTCCCAGCATCATCTAACTCTAAAAGCAAAAAATAAAAGATGGCTACATTTCCCTTCGTTGTCAATGCAAAAACATCCAATGTTAGCAGCGTTGACATCTCTTTCATGATCTCTCAGGAGTATGTTTTTTTGCACATGTAATAGTGCTCAGTGCTGCATCTCACTGATCTGGCTGTGAAATCACTGTCCAAAAACGCACAGTCTCCTCCATTTCCCTCGACTTCCATCCTGCAATAAAAGCAGAATTAGGCAGTGGAGACAATTTCTTACATAGCAGCACCAAAGGGGACTTGAATTTGCAGTCCATCTAGCTCAGACATGTCAAACACAAGGCCCGGGGACCGGATGTGGCCCGTGAAGTGGTTTCATGTGGCCCGCGAAGCCATCCTGGAAACAGTGAGGGAACGGCCCCCGCTGCCTTGGCTTTGGCCAAGGCTGGCCGGGAGCCAATGTACAATTTTGTGTGGCCATTTATGCTGAAATGCATTTAGCTCCACAAGGCCATCTGGAAACAGCGAGGAACCAGCCCCTGCCACGTCAGCCCCACCCCCTGGGTGCATGCTGGGGAGGTGTCACCCTTTGTTAGGAATGAAGAAATGCACCATCGCCTGGAAGTGGCCAGCAAATGGCCCTCGCCTACTTCACATATCCGGCTGGATGGGATCTGCCCTGGTCCCACCCTTTTCTGCCAGAGACCCTCAGATCTGTCCCACTTCTGCCCAGGCCCCCACAGGCATCCTTGATGCAAATGATGTAGAGCTGGCCACACCCACCCAGTAGCTCACACCCACTCCATCCACGCCCACCCAGTAGGCCGCACCCACGCTGGCCACACCCACCCAGCCCCGAGGGCAACCGCAATGCAGATGTGGCCCTCAATGAAATTGAGTTTGACACCCCTGATCTAGCTGAATCTTGCCTTGCCTGGTGTCCTCTGGAAATGCTGGACTGGACCATAGCCACCATATTTCCTACCCTTGGACACAATGACTGAAAATAATAGAAGTTGTAGCCCAACCTAATCAGAAAGCACCATGCTGGGAAACTCCAAGGTAGTTTACTTTCTACTGTAAGTAGGAGCAGCTCTCAAAGAAATTCAGGAGGTTGTCTATCCCACAGATTGATTTGTGGACATAAAGACAGGATCTGGATACTATATGCTGTTGTTTCTTCTTCTTCTTCTTCTTCTTCTTCTTCTTCTTCTTCTTCTTCTTCTTCTTCTTCTTCTTCTTCTTCTTCTTCTTCTTCTTCTTCTTCTTCTCCTTCTCCTCCTTCTCCTCCTCCTCCTCCTCCTCCTCCTCCTCCTCCTCCTCCTCCTCCGCTGCCCAACTCACACACAAGTGATTCTGAGGGGCTTACAAAATTCTTTCGTTAACTCTTAGTTCACTTAACAAATGTACCAATCGGGCACCATGCCTGCCTTAACCCTAGTGTGCTGAAAATACATCAAATTCCTACAGAATCAATGTAACTAATTCCCATACTTGCCTTGGTTTAACCCTAAATGGGCAGAGTCATCATTTAAGGGCAGGTTTGGAGGGAAAGTATTACTAGAGAGTTGACCATAGGGCTATTATAACCCAGGGCAAATTGAATTAATTTGGTAGAACTTCAGGACGATGGGAAAATCTATTGCTGTATCTTTCCTATTTATTCCATTTTCATTGTTCTTACAGTATTTGTTTTCTAATGTGCAACTTCAGTGGGCAATGCTCTTGTTGCCCTGTTGCTTGGGAAAGTATAATTTCAATGGCCAAGAGCTATGGATGAACAAGAAAAGTGCTTTAACCATCTTCCTATAAAAAACTACCTTTTTCAAAGTGGCTGAAGGCTAAGAATAGGAACAGGAACAGGAACAGAATAGAAAAGGAATAGGAATAGGAATAAGAATAGAATAGGACCTTCGAGGTCTCATAGTCCAGCCCCCTGCTCAAGCAGGAGAACTTATACCAGTGGTGGTGAACCTATGGCACGGGTGCCAAAGGTGGCACTCAGAGCCCTCTCTGTGGGCACGCGCGCCGTCAACCCAGTCCTAGGCCTTCAGCTGGGTTTTATAAAACCTTTTCACTTTAGGCCTCCACCGCCGTGTGCAAAAAAAAAAAAAAAGGTTCAATCAATCAGTCAATTTCAACTTCTCGTGGGAAAAAAAATCTTGCAAAGTTGGAATTGATTGATTGAACTTTTTAGTCCCACCCAGTCTGTCATTACCACCACAGCCACGCCCAGCCAATGGGCCACACCACCCGGCACCTGACGATGCATAAGTGGGTTTTAGGTTGCAGTTTGGGCACTCGGTCTCTAAAAGGTTCGCCATCACTGACCTATACCATCTCAGACAAGTGATTGTCCAGTCTCTTCTTTAAAATCTCCAGTAATGGAGCGCCCACGATTTTTGGAGGCAAGCTGTTCCACTGGTTAATTGTCCTCACTGTTAGGAACTTTCTCCTTAATTCCAGGTTGCTTCTCTCATTGGTCAGTTTCCAACCATGATCAAGATGCCATTGGAGAAGAAACCCAACAGAAGATTAATGGGTTTTTAGTGAACTGAGAGACAGCAGTGTTGGAAAGTCTTGTTTATGAACTCTACTCTGGCCTTCCCAAAGTGTCCTGCAGCTTCTTCTATCTTTAATTCCCAAAGATGATTCTGCAGATTGTCCCCCAATTCATCTATTGGGAACTGTTGACTGTACAGTAAATCTGTGTCCCAGGAGCTCAGCATTCTGGACTCAGTTCCAAGCGGGATTCTGAACATGATAATTATACAAGCAGTCCTCGACTTATAACCACTATTGGGACTAGAATTTCCTTTGCTAAGCAAGATGGTTGTTAAGTGAGTTGGGAACTTGGACAGCACCAAGCCCCTCGTGTAAGTGAGTTATGCCTGATTTTATGACCTTTGTTGCGGTTGTTAAATGGATCACTGCAATTGTTAAGTAAGTCATGTGGCTTTAAGCAAATCCAGCTTCCCCCATAGATTTGGCTTATTGGAAGCCAGGTGGGAAGGTCATAAATGGTGATCATTGTGACCCCAGGATGCTGCAACTGTTGTAACTGTTTTGCCAGCAGATTTGGCGATCCCGGGGTGATATGGAGCCCAACAACTGGTTGGTCTGATTGTTGTCACCAGGGAGTTGGGGGGTTATTGGGTTTAGTATAGTTGTTCTATTTTTGTAAGTTGCCCAGAGTCACCATGAGTGAGTTGGGCGGCCATATAAATTATCTGAATAAACAAATAAAATAGAAATAATAAATAAATACGTGTGGGTTGCCATGTGACCAAATTTTGATCATATGATCAAGGGGGCTGCTGTGATGGCTATAACTGTGAAGACTGATCATCCATATTTTTTTTCAGTTCTGTTGTACCTTTGAACGGTCGCTAAATAAATGGCTGTTAAATCGAGGACTACCCATGATGCATTTTGAGTTACATTAGTAGGGCCAAATCTTATTAGAGGGCAACTCCTGAATGCTGGCAGCCAGCAGGCTCTTTCTAAGATCAGTCCTGAGCTGGGGGGGGGGGGTCTCAGCGGAGGCGTTTTACTTTTAGTTCTTGTCAACTGAAGGGGAAAGAGGAAGACTTACGTTGCATTGTCTCCATCTAGCCACTTCCAGGGTTGATTTGATTCTCTCTTGAGGCCGATCCAAAAGAAGCGGTCTCTTGTGAACATCTTCATAATACCCTTAAAGAAATTGTGCATATTAGAACACTGCATTGTTAGACTCCCAGCTGTATTTCTAAACTTACATATAGGCTGGAAAGACTAAAATCTGGAGAAGGCTTAAGATGCTCTCTGTTCAGAAAGGCATCTAAGGAGATTTTTTTTTTACTAGTATTAGGAGAAAATCCATTAAATTTTTCAAGTTGTAGAAGAGCGTGCATCATCAAGGAAGCAACATGACTTCCAGGAACTGATTTATCCTGGACAAAACCAGCTACACGACTCACCCTTTCCTCCTTTGTAATTTTGGCCAGGGAAGCTTTATGTAAAATACAGAAGTGCTGGCTCTCCGTCCAGTTCTTTTCTTCTTCTGACAATTTGTAGCAGTGCCCCTGGTGTTGAATCCAGTCTGGTGGACATGTAACAGGTAGACATTCTATTACATCCTTTTGGCAGTTTAATGGCACTGATGTTCCTAGAACAGAGAAAGGTGGAAAGAATAGACAATAAATTATCCAGTCCTGTTCTTACAGGTAGGATGGAACCATCCTTCTGGATTAGGACCTGTTACTGATTTCTAACAAAACCCAATCTGGATAAGAAGATCCATGTTCTAACTTCCATCATGTAATCCTCAGATTAACAGAGATTGTGGAACCTGAACAGTGATTTGCATGCTGGATTTGAATCCGAGAAACCAGAAGCAAATCCACTTATTCGGTCATGAATCTCTTTGTGAGATTTTCCACTCAGTTGATCAACCTGTTTAACATTTGGTCCAGCTTTTTCACAATTATTGCTTTAGGCAGGAAATCACTAAATAAATAAATGTGGATTTACTTATTTTACTTTTTGCCTTTACTATTACAGTCACCTGGCAAAAAAGGCTCAAATGTTTGCTATTTATAATTCATTTTCCTGCTAAGCCCCTTAAACCATTATTTCTGCTCTTCTCACTAGTGCCAAATGAGTATTTTTTTTTCCTTCTGGCTATCTCATTCTGGATAAATCTTTTAAAACAAGACTCAGTGATGCTTTCAATCAAACACCAAGATTTTTTCCAAACAAAAGAACTGAAGTTTTCCTGGACCAGATGAAGTAGATTGCAGTGACTGCAAGGCCAATTCTATGTTTCTAACCCATCTGCAAAGGTCATCGGTTTCATGAAGTCATGAAGAAGCTCTTCATGGGACCAGTATTAGGGTCTGGATTCCTTACCCTGGTAATAAATGAGATGTAGGAGATGTAGCAGGCTGAACCTGAGGGAGGGGTCAAACATGCAATCAGTCTCGAGTCCCTTTGTACCCACAAGAGATCTACATCCAGCCTACCTTGAATGCCTTTGACTCTTATCTACCTCCAATTTGCTCTGGCTATTAGTAGTTCAGATTCTTATAGACAGCTTAAACTTGTAATAAATATTTATACCCATTTGAACTGCCTGGATCTTCTGATTTTCCCTGGCTCTTAACAGGAGACAAGCAATGACGATAATAATGACGATCAGGATTATGTGAGAAATGACAGTTCCAATTCTTGCCTTTATGTATTTATAGCAAGGTGACAAACATTTCTGTTCTGCACAAAAAAAGAAGAGAAACAATATTCATCAGCACTTATCTGCTATACCATAGGAAGGTACAGAGAAATCTGGATACTGATGGTTCTCCTTGAGTTGAAATCCCTAAATAAAATATTATAGACATTTCTACATCGCTAAGGTTTTCTTGGCTTTTCCTTTTAATTTCCAGAGTCAATAATTATCCTCTTGAGTCAATTAAAATGCCAGTCTGAGTCTGATGAAAATAAACTGAACTACAATGTTCGCACTGAGCAAATAAAACTGCTTAGTTCTTGCCATCTGTCTTGCCATCTTATCTTATCCTATATCTTATCCTATATCTTATCTTATATCTTATCCTATATCTTATCCTATATCTTATCTTATATTTTATCTTATATCTTATAACTCAACTCATCTCATCTCATCTTATCTTCCTCCCTTTTCTAAGAAGACTTGCAGGAATGCCTTCGTATCCATAATGGACTTGAGACCTTCTTATAAATATAGGTGATGCTCCAAGATTATATTTGCATTTCATCTGATTCAATTAAGATTGAAGATTGAAACATGAAACAAAATCAGGCCTGGTGAAGCAGGATTGGGCCTGCTGCACATCCTGTCAGCCAAAGAGTGTCAACTGGTAGGAAACAGAAGACAGGCCTTGTCTGCTGTAGCCCCTGCTTTGTGGGCTATTCTCCCTCGGAGATTAGAATGGCCCCAACCCTAATGGCCTTTCACAAGGCATTAAAAACTCGGCTAGGTACCAGGGCCCGGAGCTCGGAATGGGTTAAGGACTTCATTTACTGGCTTTACTATTCATTGATTAACTAACAGAAGAAACTATGCTGTTTCTATTTATTTTCTGGATGTTTTTATTGTTTTATTGTTTTTAATTATGTTAATGGTTCTAGAGTTTCAGAACTGTAAGCCACCCAGAATCACTTGGTTGAGCAGAGTGGCTATAAAAATTGAATATATAAATAAATTGATGGTGCAGCAGAAAAATTACATTAAGTCTGCACAAATGATGAGGTAAAACTGGCCTGAGACATTTAATTCCTTGGGATAAACCACAAACGGTCCCTGAGACAAATCCATTTTCCCTTCTCTCCTTTCTACAGCATCCTGGACAAGGAACATGCCCAGGCAGATCCATACTAAAAATCTATATTCCTGTATGTTCGAAGCTGATTTCCCGCTTTCTTATCCTGTCATTTACTATACATTTTATGTCAATGACTTGTTACCGCTTGCTAGGACTAGCTCCTATCTCTGTTGTCACATTTGCTTCTTTATTTCATTATATTTATTTCATAGCTCTCCCCTGCAACAGACTCTGAATGCCTGCTCTCTCTGCCTCGTGAAAGATTAAAATTCAACAGGAGTTTTTCAAAGTCCAACTGGGAACAGGTTACATCTTTTGTATTGCTTCCTATGCTCTAGTAGACACGGCTTGGACATTTCAATCCCTCATTTGAATGAGCGGCTTCCACATCTCAATACTGTTATTACAGTATTACCCGTCACAAGACCCTTACTTGGCACACCCACACCTGATTCATCACAAGGCCTACCAACCACACAAAACCCTGGCAACGAAACATTCGGAAACCAACCCACCTCAAAGAAAAAAACCTTCACCCTCATCCTACAGCCGAGATACAGATATGCGCCACTATTGCAAAACTGTTATTACTACCTGGTTCTTCCTCCTGTCCACTTGCAGATCCATTGAGAGAAAGAGGCTGCATCTCTTGCTCCCCAGGCATAGTCAGCATTCTTGAATTTGTATGATCTGGAATTAGAAATGGAGCTGTTCACAAGAAGGAAAGCCAAGACGCTTACAGAAGATGGCAAATTACTGCTAATTTCGAGGAATCTCTTTTTAGATGTAGGACCCAGCCTTTTAAAAAGTGTATAGCAGAAAATAATTTGTCATGCAAAGGTTCTTCATGGCCATTAATAAATTGGGCAACTATTTATTAGAGAAGCAAAAAAAAAAAATCAACATTCCATTATTCACATTCTGTTAAAAGGATTGAATTTGATCTTGGCTGATCTTCAAAAGCTAAGAAGGATGTGAAGGCTAGACTGAGTACCGTATTTTTCGGTGTATAAGACGACTGGGCGTATAAGATGACCCCCGACTTTGGCGCCAAGTTGCATGCCTAGAAAGTCGTCTTATACGTCGGAAACTACCATAATTTCCGGCGTATAGGACGACTCGGCGTATAAGACAACCCCCGACTTCGGCGCCGATTTGAATGCTTTAAAAAGTCATCTTATACACCGGAAAATACGGTAATTGAAAAGCTTTCTATTTAGTAACACCCATAAACATCAATGCATGCACAACACACAAAAATATGTGTCCTGAGTGAATAATAATAATAATAAAGTCAAATAATAATAAAATCAAATAATAATAAAGTCAAAATAAAGTCAAAATTGAGAAGACAGCAACAGACAGTAAGTGCCGCCTATGCAAAGAAGCTGAAGAAACAGTGGACCACCTGGTAAGCAGCTGCAAGAAGATTGCACAGACCGACTACAAGCAGCGGCATGACAAAGTAGCAACAATGGTGCATTAGAAGATCTGCAAGAAATATCATTTACCTATAAGCAAAAACTGGTGGGATCATAAAATAGAGAAAGTCATAGAAAATGATAAAATTAAACTGCTCTGGGACTTCAGAATTCAAACAGACAAGCACCTGCAACATAACACCCCGGACTTAACAATTGTTGATAAGAAAGACAAAAAAATCTGGATAGTGGACGTGGCAATGCCTGGAGACAGCAGAATAGATGAGAAAGAACTGGAAAAGATAACAAAATACAAAAACCTGCAAATAGAAATAGAAAGATTGTGGCAAAGGGAAGCAAGGGTAGTACCAATAGTAATAGGCACCTTGGGTGCAATCCCAAAACAACTGGAGCACCACTTGAACACCATTGGCATTGACAGATTTGCCATTAGTCAATTGCAAAAGGCGGCCTTACTAGGAACTGCTTCCATTCTGCGACGATATCTGTAATACCATCAAGCATCCATATTTTGGCTCTTCCACATCTACCTATCCCAGATCCATGGTAAGGACTCGATAGGTAGACAAAAATGCCAAATCCAGTCTGAACATCTGGCTGACTGTGCGATGATCAATAATAATAATAATAATAATAATAATAATAATAATAATAATAATAATACTAGACCCCCAGTGAGACACTACCTTGACGTGGTTGTGGGGCTTGTGTACTCTGAGGAAGATGAGAGCTATGCCAGAGGTTCAACCATACTGGACAGGTCTCATCAGAGGAGTCAGACAAAGAGTGTCTCTCCCATAAAAAATATGGTGAGACGTAAATTTCAGAATGCCATACCGGCTCGGACGTCGCCCGGGTTAACAAGGTCCGCACTAGATATTGGAGTTCCTGGATATCTGGTGAAAAATGGGTTACAGGACTCAGGACTGTTGGCTGAGCAACCAGGGCCAGCAGCTGCAGAACTACTGGAAGAAAAGGTGTTTACCCATCGCAGATACACAGTGATGGAAAACAAAGAAATAATGATCTGTTACTACAGATCAAGTCCAACAAGAAGAGGATATCTAAAACGAATGCACCAGTTCTGGAAAGAACAACATCCAGAATCAGAAATAACAGAACAGAGACTAGCAGATCAACGCCGATTTATAACACGAAATAAAGTATTCACAGAAACAGAATTGGACGAACTGCAAAGGTTTACCCAGGGCAAAGAAATCAAAGCCTTACCAGAAGTAATTCAGAATGTAGAGGCAAACCAGGGGGAGTTGGCAGTGAAGGAATCCAGCAGAGATATACAACTGTTCTCATTTGGAAACCAGGCACCTCTTCCTCAGGAAGAACAAAACCCTCTAACTAAAGAAATAAAAGAATTGAAACAAAGAATAACTGAGCATCTAGAACAGCACAAAAACAACAGAATAAGGCTACCTGCATTGAAGCTTGTTCCAAAGAAACAGCTAGCACAAGCATTAAAAGATGCAAATACTGCAATATCAAGTATAAGCACCAATTCACTGCAAGAAACAAACCAACTAATGTACAGCACAGCTGCAGTTATAACAGAATACCTGGGATGCAAAATCAACAAAAAAGAAAAACAAACAAACAGTGCACCAGAAAAATGGAAGGTTAGACTAGAAAATAAGATCAGCAAGTTAAGATCACATGCAAGCAAGCTAGAACAGATGAAAGAAAAGAAGCTGAAGAACAAGAAGACCAAAGAATACCTAATCAAGAAATACCACTTAGAAACAAGGAAGATCAAGGAAGCACTGGAAATAATAAAGCAACAAATAACAGCTATAGCCAGGAAAATCAGTAGATATGAAGCTCGAATTGCAAACTATAGGCAGAACCTCCAATTTCAATCCAATCAGAAACGTTTCTACCAATCCATCAATGGAGAAACTGCAAGGAATCAGTCAGTACCTGACAAGGAAGAAACAGTGCAGTTCTGGAAGCAGATATGGGATAACCCAAAGAAATACAACAAGGATGCGGCTTGGTTAAAAGAGGTGGATGCAAATAAAACAGAAGTTGAAATGAAAGAACTAGTAATAACAACAACAATGGTAGAAAAAAGAGCAAGGAAAATCAAAAATTGGTCAGCACCGGGTGAAGATGAACTGCATGGGTTTTGGTTGAAACATCTAACTGTTATACACCCACTCATTTCCAAGCAGTTCAACAATATACTGCAAGGAGGAGAAATTGAAAAGTGGCTAACAACTGGGAAAACCTACCTAATAATAAAAAATCCAGCAAAAGGGGCAACACCAGGCAACTACAGGCCAATTACCTGTTTACCAACAACTTTCAAATTACTAACTGGTGTGGTAGCTGATGCAGTACAACAGCATCTAGTTGAAAACAATCTCTTTCCACCTGAGCAGAAAGGAAACCGCCCCAATAGCAGAGGAACAAAAGATCAACTCCTAATAGACAAAATGATCTTGGAAAACTGCAAGAGAAGGAAGACCAACCTGAATGTGGCATGGATTGACTACAAAAAGGCATTTGACTCTCTGCCACATGATTGGATAATAAAGTGCCTAGAAATAACAGGAGTCAGTAGAAACATCAGAAAATTTGTGCAAAGATCGATGGCACAATGGAAGACACAGTTGCAGATCAATGGTGAGAAGCTGGGAGAGGTTAATATCAAGAGAGGAATATTTCAAGGAGATTCATTGTCACCATTACTATTTGTTATTGCACTGTTTCCTCTGTCAACAATACTGAATAACTCAGGACATGGCTATCAAACATCAAAAACATCTGCCAGACTATCCCACCTCCTTTATATGGATGATCTGAAGCTGTATGGAAAAACATCATCTGAAATAGAATCGCTGCTCAACACTGTCCGTATATATAGCCAAGATATTGTAATGGAGTTTGGCTTGGACAAATGTGCCACACTTACTATCAAACAAGGAAAAATAGTGAAAACTGAAGGAATCAAGATGCCCCACGAAAATAACATTAAGAGTCTGGATGAGGAAGAGTACTACAAATACTTGGGTATCCTTCAAGCTGACAATATCAAGCACACTGAAGTCAAGAAAAAGATTAGAGGTGAATACATCAAGAGAGTGAAGAAGATCTTAAAGTCCAAACTCAATGGAGGAAATACCATAAAGGCAATCAACACCTGGGCAATCCCAGTCATTAGGTACACAGCTGGAATAGTGGACTGGACTCAAGCAGAACTAAAAGAAATGGATAGGCAGACCAGAAAAATAATGACAATGAATCATGCCCTTCATCCACGCAGTGACATTGATAGACTTTATCTACCAAGGCAAATAGGTGGGCGTGGAATGCTACAAGTACATCAGATGGTTGAAGAAGAAAAAATGGCTTTGGAAGAATATCTGAAGAACAATGATGAAGATGCACTGAAATTAGTATATCAGGAAGGCTTACTGACTACTGGAGAGACCAAACTGGCCTACAAGAAAGACCAAATGAAGAACAGAATAGAGGCATGGGAAGACAAAGCACTACATGGCCAATACATGAAAAAAATAGCTGGGAAAGCAGATAATAATAAAACCTGGCAATGGCTAAGAGCAGGAAAATTGAAGAAAGAGACCGAGGGACTAATTCTGGCTGCACAAGACCAAGCCTTAAGGACAAATGCATACAAAGTCAAAATTGAGAAGACAGCAACAGACAGTAAGTGCCGCCTATGCAAAGAAGCTGAAGAAACAGTGGACCACTTGGTAAGCTGTTGCAAGAAGATTACACAAACTGATTACAAGCAGCGGCATGACAAAGTAGCAACAATGGTGCATTGGAAGATCTGCAAAAAATATCATTTGCCTGTAAGCAAAAACTGGTGGGATCATAAAATAGAGAAAGTCATAGAAAATGATAAAATTAAACTGCTCTGGGACTTCAGAATTCAAACAGACAAGCACCTGCAACATAACACCCCAGACTTAACAATTGTCGATAAGAAAGACAAAAAAGTCTGGATAGTGGACGTGGCAGTGCCTGGAGACAGCAGAATAGACGAGAAAGAACTGGAGAAGATAACAAAATACAAAGACCTACAAATAGAAATAGAAAGACTGTGGCAAAAGCAAGCAAGGGTAGTACCAATAGTCATAGGCTCCTTGGGTGCAATCCCAAAACAACTGGAGCACCACTTGAACACCATTGGCATTGACAAATTCGCTATTAGTCAATTGCAAAAGGCGGCCTTATTAGGAACTGCTTCCATCCTGCGACGATATCTGTAATACCATCAAACATCCACATCTGCCTAACCCAGGTCCTGGGTAAGGACTCGATAGGTAGACAAAATGCCAAATCCAGTCTGAACATCTGGCTGACTGTGCGATGATCCATAATACTAGTAATAATATCCTGTCACTTACTATACATTTTATGTCAATGACTTGTTACTGCTTACTAGAATTAGCCCCTATCTCTGTTGTCACATTTGCTTCTTTATTTCATTATATTTATTTCATAGCTGTCCCCTGCAACAGACTCTGAATGCCTGCTCACTCTGTCTCGTGAAAGATTAAAATTCAGCAGGACTTTTTCAAAGTCCAACTGGGAACAGGTTACATCTTTTGATTGCTTCCTATACTCTAGTAGACACGGCTCGGACATTTCAATCCCTCATTTGAGTGAGCAGCTTCCAGATCCTGATACTGTTATTACAGTATTACCCATCACAAGACCCTCACTTGGCACACCCACACCTGATTCATCGCAAGGCCTACTGACCACACAAAACCCTTAAAAGCCAAAGAACACTGACACTAAAAACCCCTAAACTCAACTGAAGAGGTTTCCTAGCCTGGTAACGAAACATTCGGAAACCAACCCATAAGCTCGAAGAAAAAAAACTTCACCCTCATCCTACAGCCGAGATACAGATATGCGCCACTATTGCAAAACTGTTATTACTACCTGGTTCTTCCTCTTGTCCACCTGCATTGGGAGAAAGAGGCTGCATCTCTTGCTCCCCAGGCATAGTCAGCATTCCTGAATTTGTATGATCTGGAATTAGAAAAATAACAACAACAATAATATTAATAATACTAATAATAATAGTAATAAAGTTGTAAGAGACCTTAGAGGTCATTGAGTCCAACCCCCTGCTCAGGCAGGAAACCCTACACCATTTCAGACATATGGCTGTCTAGTCTCTTCTTAAAAACTTCCAGTGTTGGAACATTCACTGCCTCTGGAGGCAGATTGTTCCACTGGTTAATTGTTCTCACTGTCAGGAAGTTTCTCCTTAGTTCTAGGTTGCTTCTCTCCTTGATTAGTTTCCACCCATTGCTTCTCGTCCTGCGTTCAGGCGCTTTGGAGAATCGCTTGACCCCCTCTTCTTTGTGGCAGCCCCTGAGATATTGGAACACTGCTATCATGTCCCCCCTCGTCCTTCTCTTCGTTAAACTAGACATACCCAATTCTAGCAACCGTTCCTTATATGTTTTAGCCTCCAGTCTCCTAATCATCTTTGTTGCTCTTCTCTGTACTCTTTCTAGAGTTTCAACATCTTTTTTACATTGCGGTGACCAAAACTGGATGCAGTATTCCAAGTGTGGCCTTACCAAGGCATTGTAAAGTGGTATTAATGGAGCTGTTCACAAGAAGGAAGGCCAAGATGCTTACAGAGGATGGCAAATTACTGCTAATTTCGAGGAATCTCTTTTTAGATGTAGGACCCAGCCTTTTAAAAAGTGTATAACAGAAAACACTTTGTCATATAAAGGTTTTTCATGGCCATTAATAAATTGGGCAACTATTTATTAGAGAAGCAAAAAAAAAATCAACATTCCATTATCCACATTCTGTTAAAGGGTTGAATTTGATCTTGACTGATCTTCAAAAGCTAAGAAGGATGAGACCCCAAGTGGTATTCCAAGAGTGGCCTTACCAAGGCATTGTAGAGTGGTATTAATACTTCACATGATCTTGATTCTATCCCTCTGTTAATGCAGCCTAGCACTCTGTTGGCCTTTTTGGCAGCTGCAGCACACTGCTGGCTCATATTTAGATGATTGTCTACTAGGACTCCAAGGTCCCTCTCACAGTTACCTGTTTCTTCTTGCTGTACACGATCATTGCTATGAGGGGCCTGCTCATCAATCATCTCAAATTTATCCTGAGCCATTGTTCCTGGATTTGTACGATCTGGAATTACAAATAAAGCTGTCACCTGAAGGAAGACCAAAATGCTTAGAGAAGCTGGAAAAACTGCTGCTAATTTCGAGGAACCTCTTTTTAGATATAGGACACTACCTTTGGGGAAACTTTTTGATAGAGGAATAAAAATCAACATTTTGTTTTCCACATTCTGTCAAAAAGGTTGAATTGAATCGAGAATCTGAGTTGGCTATCTTAAAGAGCTAAGATCCCTTTAAGCACCCCTGCCTCGACATAGTGAAGAGGCTTGTGCAGCTTGCTGAAACTGTGAGCTAAGCTGTGCATAACATAATAACAGAATAACAGAGTTGGAAGGAACCTTGGAGATCTTCTAGTCCAACCCCCTGCTCAGGCAGAAAACCCTATACCATTTCAGACAAATGGTTGTCCAGTCTCTTAAAACTTCCAGTGTTGGAGCATTCACAACTTCTGGAGGCAGGTTGTTCCAATGATTAATTGTTCTAACTGTCAGGAAATTTCTCCTTAGTTCTAGGTTGCTTCTAGGTCCATGCAGGGCCACCCAAGATGGGCAAGTCATAGTGGAGAGTTCTGACCAAACACAGTCCACTAGAGAAGGAAATGGCAACCCTTCTCCAGTACAGAGAAGAGCAACAAAGATAATTAGAGGTCTGGAGGCTAAAACATATAAGGAACGGTTGCTGGAATTGGGTATGTCTAATCTAATGAAGAGAAGGACGAGGGGGGACATGATAGCAGTGTTCCAATATCTCAGGGGCTGCCCCAAAGAAGAGGGAGTCAAGCGATTCTCCAAAGCGCCTGAAGGCAGGACAAGACGCAACGGATGGAAACTAATCAAGGAGAGAAGTAACCTAGAACTAAGGAGAAACTTCTTGACGGTTAGAACAATTAACCAGTGGAACAACCTGTCTCCAGAAGCGGTGAATGCTCCAACACTGGAAGTTTTTAAGAAGAGACTGGACAGCCATTTGTCTGAAATGGTATAGGGTTTCCTGCCTGAGCAGGGGGTTGGACTAGATGACCTCCAAGGTCCCTTCCAACTTTATTATTAATTGTTGTTGTTGTTAATTGCGAAGTCGTGTCCGACCCATCGCGACCCCATGGACAACGCTCCTCCAGGTCTTCCTGTCCTCTACCATTTAAGTTCACACCTACTTAAGTTCACATTATTATTATTACTACTACTAATACCACTACTACTACTCCCTTTGCCCAGAAAACCCCATGGACAGTATAATATCAAAAGTCTAAAAGATATGATCCTGGAAGATGAGCCCCTCAGGTCATGATGTATTTCCCCTCATGCTACTGGGGGAGAGCGGAGGGCAATTACATGAAGCTCCAGAAAGAGTGAAGCAGTTAGGCCAAAGCCAAAATGATGCTTAGCTGTGGATGTGTCTGGTGGTAAAAGGTTGGCAACTGGTTCGTACTTATAATGGTTGCATTATAAGGGGTCAGATGATCACCTTTTGCAACCTTCTGACAAGCAAAGTCAAGGGGAAGCCAGATTCACTTAACAACTGTGTTATTAACTCCACACCTAGAGTGATGTACTTAAGAACTGTGGCAAGACAGACTGTAAAATGGAACAAAACTCACTTAACAACCATCTTGGTTAGCAACAGAAATTTTGGAGACAATGGTGGTCATAAGACAGCCTTAGATCAATTATTAGTGGAGCATAAGGAAATTGTATACGTGTTACAGAAAACTGCTTGCACACTTCACAAAGGCTTAATTACACAACAATTGAAGTTAGCTACCATTATAACCCTTAACCAGGGTCCTGAGCTTGGGGGCAGCACTAACTCTGCCTGCTTCTGCCTTGGGTTTTGGGTGAAGCCCCAACTTCAATCTGGGTCTTTGCTCTGGGGCCAGGAACTGGCACCTGTACACTCCAATGGCACACCATGTGCTCAGCAATGTCTCTCCAGTCACCAACTTCCTGCATCGTCACTTCAAGGAGTGAAGTGGCTAGGCCAAAGCCAAAAGGACACTCAGCTGTAAGCGTGTCTAACGACGAAAGGAAATTCTGATGATGTAAAGAACAATCATGCAAAAAAATAGAGGAAAACAAAAGAACAGGAAAGACTAGAGATAATTGGAGATATCAAGGGCATTCAAAGATGGGCATGATAAAGGACAAAAATAGTAGGGACCTAACAGAAGCAGAAGAGATTAAGAAGAGGTGGCAAGAATATATAGAACTATGCAAGAAAGGTGTTTATCACCATGGTAACCATGATGGTGTGACCGTTGACCTTGAGCCAGACATCCTAGAGAGCAAAGCCAAGTGGGCCTTAGGAAGCATATGCCACCCAGTTTGGAAAATCAACAGTGGCCACAGGATTGGAAAAGGTCAGTTTACATTCCAAACCCAAATAAGGGCAAAGCCAAAGAATGTTCAAACTACTGTACAACTGCACTCATTTCACACACTGCCAAGGTTATGCTCAAAATCCTACAAGCTGGGCTTCAGCAGTATGTGAACAGAGAATTATCAGAGGTACAGGCTGGGTTTCAAAGAGGCAAAAGAGAGAAGCAGCCTAGAACTAAGGAGAAACTTCCTGACAGTGAGAGCAATTAACCAGTGGAACAACCTGCCTCCAGAAGCTGTGAATGCTCCAACACTGGAAGTTTTTAAGAAGAGACTGGACAGCCATTTGTCTGAAATGGTACAGGGTTTCCTGCCTGAGCAGGGGGTTGGACTAGATGACCTTCAAAATCCCTTCCAACTTTACTACTACTACTACTACTACTACTACTACTACTACTACTACTACCATTATTATTATTATTATTATTATTATTATTATTATTATTATTATTATTATTATTATTATTATTATAGATCAAATTGCCAACATTCACTGCATTAGGGAGAAAGCAAGGGAGTTCCAGAAAAGCATCTACTTCTGCTTCAATGACTACACTAAAGTCTTTGATTGTGTGGAACACAGCAAATGGTGGCAAGTTCTTAAAGAGATGGGAATACCAGACCACCTTACCTGTCTCCCGAGAATCCTGTATCCGGGTCAAGATGCAACAGTTAGAACCAGACATGAAGAACTGATTGGATCAAAATAGGAAGAGGCTGTATATTGTCACCCTGCTTATTCAATTTACATGCAGAGTACTGTTGGACCTGTCCAAGCTAAGTTCCTAGGAAAGAAACGCTGTTTTATTTGCTGCTTCCTGAGAAGTTAGAAAAAAAAAACCGAAGCGTTTCTCCAAATCGGGGTGGGTGGGGGCGGAATCCATCCAGCCCCTCCCTTCCCTGCCAAACTTAGCAGAGAAACCTCCTAGGAAGCAGAAAGGAAAACGGAGCGTTTCTCCAAATGGGGAGGGGGCGAGGGAACCACCCTTTACCTTTCAAATTTGGCACGTCTCAGGCTGATTTTTCTTCTGGCTCCTCAGTTGCCGGCGCAAACTTGTTCTCCGCCCAGCTGGCCACGCCCACCCAGCCGCGCCGAGTGGACTGCATCTAATTCTGCGGGTCGACCTGCCTGCGGCCTTTCACCCACACCCACCCTGCGGCACACAGATGGTCATCCTATTCCCACGGTGTCGCAGACATAAAACAACGGGAACAAAAAGCTAAGATCAATGAGAGTCTATATGTGAATCCGAAAGGCGGACCGAGTAATTAAAAAGTTTTCCATGTAGCAACACACACACACACATACACAAACATCTATGGACACAAGACACAGAGAAACACATCTCCTGAAATAACAAGAAATGAGGGCGAGATTCCTTCCGCCAGTCGTAATAAATTCAGCAGGAAACAAAAACTATAGCGGAGAAGCAGGCACGAGTTCATCAACTCCGTGTAATTTTTCTCTACGCACCAAACTTACTTTTATTTACTTCAGTGACTCGCCGACTACCAGTGTGTCCTAATCTCCTGAAACCCTAATGAAAAAAGATATGCCAACGCTTGTTGCAAAGTCAGTTTTTCATCAGTGATGCTTCAGCAATGTTATCCACTCAAAGTCTTCTTTACAGACAGAAAAACGTTTAGCCTGAATTGCTGACGAAAAAGCAGGCGCCGAATCCTTTCCCCCAATAATACTTCCACTTCTCCGAAGTTGCAAAGGCGCAACCATCCGCTTCCCTTCCTTCACAGCCGAACACCGGGTAACTTTCTCAACGGAGCCAAAGTAGCCCCGTGCGAAAAGCTCCCAATGCTAGGAGACCCCCAAGAGCGCGAAGCAGCTCCTCCAAAGCCCCGAATACCTGGCAATCTCCAGCCCAGCCGCCCTCACTGCTCTGCACCGCGTCATCTTCAGACCGCTATGAGAATAGTAATAGTAGTAAAGTTGGAAGGGACCTTGGAAGTCATCTAGTCCAACCCCCTGCTCAGGCAGGAAACCCTACACCATTTCAGACAAATGGCTGTCCAGTCTCTTCTTAAAAACTTCCAGTGTTGGAGCATTTACTGCTTCTAGAGGCAGGCTGTTCCACTGGTTAATTGGTCTCACTGTAAGGAAGTTTCTCCTTAGTTCTAGGTTGCTTCTCTCCTTGATGTTTCCACCAGTTGCTTCTTGTCCTGCCTTCAGGTGCTTTGGAAAATAGCTTAATTCCCTCTTCTTTATGGCAGCCCCTGAGATATTGGAACACTGCTCTCATGTCCCCCCTTGTCCTTCTCTTCGTTAAACTAGACATACCCAATTCTAGCAACCGTTCCTTATATGTTTTAGCCTCCAGTCCCCTAATCATCTTTGTTGCTCTTCTCTGTACTCTTTCTAGAGTCTCAACATCTTTTTTACATCGTGGTGACCAAAACTGGATGCAGTATTCCAAGTGTGGCCTTACCAAGGCATTGTAGAGTGGTATTAATACTTCACGTGATCTTGATTCTATCCCTCTGTTAATGCAGCCTAGCACTGTGTTGGTCTTTTTGGCAGCTGCAGCACACTGCTGGCTCATATTTAGGTGATTGTCTACTAGGACTCCGAGGTCCCTCTCACAGTTACTACTATTGAGCATGGTGCCACCTATGCTGTACTTGTGCATTTGGTTTTTCTTGCCTAAATGTAGAACCTTGCTTTTTTCACCATTGAATTTCATTTTGTTAGTTAGTGCCCAGTGTTCAAGTCTGTCCAGATCCTTCTGTATCTTAAGCCTGTCTTCTGGAGTGTTGGCCATTCCTGCCAGCTTGGTGTCGTCTGCAAATTTGATGAGTTCCCCATGAAGTTCCCTTCATCCAAATCGTTGATGAAGATGCTGAAGCGCACTGGGCCCAGAACAGAGCCCTGGGGCACCCCACTAACATTGAGAACATTGATAGAAGAGCCAAAGAAGATAAATATTGTGAGCAATGTTCTTTCTCAGTTTTCCCCTTGCTGTGCTTGCCAAAACAGATCACTAAAGGTTAAAATCCTTTTGATCAGGAGCTGCGTTTTTAAATTCAGCTGTCCAGCTGGTGAATATCTGAACAGCAAGAATGTCCTTCACCCGAACACATCAGTAATAGTAACAGTATAACAGAGTTGGATGAGATCTTGGAGGTTTTCTAGTCCAGCCCCTTACTCAAGCAGGAGATCCTATACCAGTGATGGTGAACCTTTTAGAAATCGAGTGCCCAAAAACCGCTCCCACCCCTGTCCCTGCTCCGCCCTGCCCACTGGGCCACCCACCACCTCCACAGCCCGCCATAGATCACTCAGGCAGCCCAGCAGCACCATGGTGGCCACGCCCTCCGCCCATGCCCCGCAGCATCATCTGTGCATGATGGCGCAAGGGCAGAGTCTTGTCCCCGCTGCCTGGCTACCACGTCCTTGGCTCTTCCGCATGGGCTGCGCCCAGGGGTGACTCTCCTCCAAGGGGCTGCTGGTGAGGAGGGGGCCATGGGAGGAGGTGGGGCTGGGGAGACGGTGCGTGTGCCCACAGCGAAGGCTCCGAGTGCCGCTTCTGGCACCTGTGCCATAGGTTCGCCACCACTGCACTAGGCGAAGAATCCAGTAGGAAGCTGGTCAGCCGCAGCCTTTTAAGGTGCCGCTTTCCCCATGCTCCTTAGCAGGGCTGGAACATGGGAAAAAAAGAGAGGATAGGAGCTGCCCTGTTTTCTCCAAGGCTCTGTTTCTGCTGCTTTTGGCTGTTTCCCCTGCCCTCATCCTCCTTTTTTGTCCTCTGCCACTGCAGGGCTGTGATAGATTGTGCGGGAGAACAAGCGGAAGAGCGTTTTGGGTTTTGTTTTTTGATTACATGATCAGTGTTAAGGCGCCACTTATTTGTTCAGATTTGTGCCCGCATGTAAAGTTGAGAAACTATTTTGAATTGTGAAAAGAAACTTCTAGATTTATGTCTGTCCCTTTAAATGCTGAATTTCTCTCTGGCCACGTTGATTCTGGGGTGAGTTTTATGGGTTGGTTTTTTATGATTTGTATATACTGAGTGCATATTAGAAGAAAATTAAGGTTTTTTTTATTATTTGCCTTTTTTATTGTTTTGTCTATTATAGCCTGGCTTATTCCTGGAAATTTCCAGGATCTTTATAAAGATGTCCTGCCAACTCAGTGCATCCTTGGTTTGGGGAGGGGGATGTACTGTGGGAAGAATCCAGAGAAAGAAATATTATGGGGAATATTGAAAAGGCAGAATATATTTCCCCAAAGGATCTTAAAGGCATAAAAAGCCCAGTTTTTCTTAATAGCCCCAGGCAGAAACCAGGTTTTAGAAATGCAGATGTAATAATCCATTTAGGAAGGTTGGAGCCAGGAAACTAGACGCTGATGAGATTAGGAAGACAAAGACCCCTAAAATCTACATATCCCACCCAAACTCTACAGACAGAAAATATAGTAGGATTAACTCACCAATACTAGAAGGGCACACTCAGACTCAAATCATAATACATGACACAGGAAATACAAAGCCTCAAACAGGAACAGGAAACAACCTCAAAGGCCCCAGAAGGTATAAAAACCCACCACTCCCAGCAACATGTGGTCAGTTTTCCCAGAGCCATGCTTCTGTCTGGCTCTGCTCTTCAGTAAACCATAACCTTCTTTCTCAAGCAGTTTTCATTTTGTTTATTTCTGGCTTGGACTGGACCATGATGAAGATTTTTCTTTCAATAGTACTAATGCCAGTTTTTATAGTTTTATAGCAGCACAGAGAACTCTTGAAGACAGTCTGGCTACAATTCTTCTGAGTAACCAGATGTATCCATTCTAGAAGGGAGAAATTGTGCTGCTTAAAAGTTCCCTTGCAGGATTTTAAAGACAACCTGGGAGAATCCATTCCAGGTTTTGCTGACTAACCAAACTGTCCTTGTAAAAGAAAAGGGTTTCTAGATTTCTCACAGATTGAGATTGTCAGTTTCTTGGAAGTGCCCTGATAAAATTTTGCTTTTTTAAAAAAAAATATTTGTAGAATTATTATTTCAAGCAACCTTTAAGTCTATTTTGCTGCTGTTGCTTCTTTTACATTATTTTTATATTGCAAATGGCGGTAGGTGGGACAGGCGGGGAACAAAATTCTTATTCAGCGGCATGCAATTAAAAATGCTGGCTTATAAAATAACATAGTTGAATTTCCTTTTTGCAGACTCCATGGATTTAAGGAATGTCTCTTTTTCCTGGGCTCTTAAGTACTGACTGGTGGGTAAATCACATTATTGCATTTGATTTCACTGTTACGCAGGAACATGCCAATTCCCTATTTTCAAAGAACATCAATGGCCCAAACACACAAGTAATATTTCTGCTATACTTGTACTAATTCAACTAATTACGAAGCAGCCTGGGATATTAAAAACAAATTTGCATAGGGCAAGTAGCCAAACATAATGGTACTTACACTTTAAAAAAATATTGTCTGTGCCTTGACATATAACATTGAAAGATCAGCTTACCTGATGAATTATAGTGGACTTTCCACCATTCATGATTTTAAAATTCTACTGTTGTCTTGACAAGGACTTTATACTATTTCTTGGCTATGGACAGGAGGAATTCATCAACTGTCACTCCAAGAAATTAAATGGTCATTTAAACATAACTATATAGAACAGTGGTTCTCAACCTTCCTAATGCCGCGACCCTTTAATACAGTTCCTCATGTTGTGACTCCCAACCCCCCATCCAGCTGGCCAGGGAGGGGGGGCAGGAAGGCCGCTCCACCGGCGCCACCCAGCCTGGTTGGAGAAGTGCCATTCCTCTCCCTCTTTCTCTCTCTCTTTTCTCTCTCTCTCTTTTCCTCTCTCTTTCTCTTTCCTCTCTCCCTCTTTCTTCTCTTTCTCTTTCCTCTCTCTCTTTCCTCCCT